GGCGTACACGACTTGGTGTGACTCAATCAGGCCCAGAGGGTGGCCAAATTGCCTCTACGTTTTCTGCAAGGTCAACAGTCTTAATTAGAGTTCTCAGAGAAATGGAGCCAACAGGAGATATGTTTCCATCTCTAGCCACATATCTATACCTCTATATCTATCACTTAGCAATCAGTCGATCTGGCTATCTATCAAGGGAGAGGGAGAGACATTTATTTTAAGGAACTGGCTCACACCATCGTGAGGACCAGCAGGTCTGACGTGCATAGATTGAGCTGCAGGCTGGAGACTCAAGTAAGAGTTGGTGTTGACATGTGGGTCTGATGGTTGGAGACTCAGGCAGGCTTTCCGTATCGTCTTGAGAATTCCTTCTTCTTTGGGAAACCTTAGTCTTTGCTCTCAAGGTCTTCATCTGATTGGCTGAGGCCCAGGACATTATGATCTGCTTTACTTAGAGTCCAGTAATTGTAAACGTTAATCACATCTAAACCATGTGTCAGGGCGATGTCTGGACTAGAGTTTGAGCAGACACGTGGGCACCATGGAGCAGCTGTCCTGCCTTGTCCAATTTATGTGAGTCCTGGAAGGTTTGGAGGAAACAGAAGTCTGAAAAACCACTGGAACCTGAGGGGTGTGGGACCCTCTGGCTTCCTTTCATCTAAGACGTCAGGGCAGTCGCTTGTCAGGTGCTGTGAGGCCAAAACTCATTATTTTGTCATTAATCATCTCAAGGGTTTAGAGACTAAACTTTCGCTACCGCTCACATCAAAGCCCATTGGGTGGAATTCTATGTGATTTTGAATTCCTTTGGATGTGTATGAGTGAGGGTATTTTGTAGCTGGGCTACAAATGTTGTTAGCAAAACTCAAGGCTCTACAAATGAGTTTTAAATTTATGTGAAGAGCCTAATTCTTATCTTAATTTCTTCTTTAAAAAAAAATCTCATCCTCAATCTGCATATTTACCTTTTCAACTGTTATTTAGGACTAAAGCCAAAACCTGATGGGTTGAGTTTCCACGTCCATAGTTTTAAGTGACGAAGAAACAAGTTTGGGCCCAGCACGGGGGTGTCTGGAACCGTGCCGACAGCGCGTGGGGCGACAGGCGGCAGCGACGTGCGAGGCAAGCACAGCAGAACACGGAACGGACGTGTCCACCACCCTGTTGTACACCTGAAACCAACACAGCATCCTGTGTCCCCCGAACCGCAGTAAAACGGAAGCCAAGTTCGAAGCCTGTGACGTTGACGTAGCTCCGTTTGATCCAGTCTCCGATTTCACAATCTCAACTCCGGTCCAAAGCAGAGCCGCAGGAGAGCTGGCTCAGCGGGGAACTGGTGGCCTGTGCCCGCCGAAAAGAAAGACCTGTGGATAAATTTCACGCGAAAACGCTGAAATTAACGGAACTCACCGCCAACAGTGATGCTTCTGAGCTGAAAGCACAGCTATCATTTAGACAACGGGGCTTTCTTGCCGAAGCTCAAGTGTGATTAAAAGCAACATACGGGAAATTGTTTCAGTGCCACATACTTGTTTGATGTTTTTCCTCATCAGAGTTAAGTGACAAACATATCCCCAAAATGGACATATGTTGTCTAGGAGTGCTTTTGATTTTAGATCCTGAATTATAGCCATTAATGGGGATTAAATTAAATAAACTATGAAGTTCATAAGCTCTGCATTGAAAGGCTGTTAACACCTGTTGCTGAGAAGAACCAATCTTTTTTTTTTTTTTTTTTTTTTTTGGTGGTGGTTGTTTTTTTAAGTAGGCTCCACACCTACTTGATCTCTGCAATCAAGACCTGAGCTGAGATCCAGTCGGATGCTTAACCGACTGAGCCACTCAGGGACCTCAAGATCTGGTAAATCTTCAGGGCTGGTTTGTGCTTTGAACCCCCTTCCTGAACAGAGTAGCTACCTCCTTGCTCTGCTCTGCTCTCCTTCACTGCACGGGTTTATCTTACCGTGCGTCTTACTGCTTACTGTTTATTTTCTCTCTCCCTCTGCCAGGGGATTGCCTTCACCAGCGGAGGGCTCTGCCTTGCTGCTGCTGACACATCTCTAGCTCCTGGGACCGTGATGGACATGTGGTCCGTGCTCAGGATGTGTTTTTTGAATGACTGAATCTCTGCCATGAGGGACCATCTCATTCAGTCCGATTTTTCATGCATCAATTATGGAATTGTATCACTATGTGTGGAAACACTGGCAAACTGAAAAAAAAAAAACCCACGAGGTTGCAGTCACGTGAAGGAGGGTGCCGTGGACCTGAGTGAGGCCGAGCAAGCGGAGCTGTGGGGACAGGGGTGGGGGAGGGCGCGGATGGGGGCGGGGTGCATCCACACTCTCCGGAGGCAGAGCCGCACCTGACGCGGGGCCTCCGACTCTGGGCTGTGAGTCATGAGCTACATCGGGACTCGCCTTTGCAGACGGGGTTTACTCATCTTACCTAGCAGGTCACCTGAGATGAAACCTCAGGGTCTGCTGGGGCTGCGCTGGGAGCTGGGAGCCAGGCCTGTGGTCCTTCGTGTCTCTTGGTTCCAGCACCTTGGGAAGTACATGTGGGCTAACGGCCTGGGTCGGCGGAACTTAGGACAAGGGACAGGCCAAATCTGAGAATAAACGCACAATCATCTGCATAAAAGGTGTGTGGAGGACCATTTTAGGTCCTACGAAAGATGGATACTTTATCCTCGGGTGCGTTTGTGGTTGTGACTCAGGAGGAGGTCCCCATGAGAGTGAAGCAGCAGAACACCCCCAAACCTACCTCTTCTGCCCCGTCTGTTGGTGTCTCCTGGATGACGCTCAGTTCAGCATTTGGGGGCAGCAGATACAGAACGGAGACGCTATGGTTGGGAGGTGAATCCTGCATTTCTGTGTGTGTGTGAGCAGTCACTGGACGGTTTTCTCTAGGACGTTTGCCGGGGGGACAGCCCAGGAGGACAGAGGTGGTGTCCCCCTCTGGGGCAAAGGGAGGCCAGCCCTTATAAGTGACCGGGGTTTCTCAAGCCGGGGTGCCCAGCTGTGACCCAGCCTGTTGTTCATGCATTCTCTGTCACCCCGGGAGACCTGAGGGCAAGGGGAGCAGGGGTGCACCTGGGGTGCGTCGTGTCTTCGTCCGCACGCACAAGACGGTGCCCGGCTGACATGTTAGCAAACTGCCCGAACCTTCGCCCACCCAAACAAACATGCAGCCTGAAGACTATAAGCAGATAGATGCTCACTCTGTGTGGTGTGCTAGACAGAAGAATGGGCTCTCAAATCCTGGGCCCCAGAACCCATGAGTGACATAGAGGTGAGGTTCAGGCTGCTCATCAGCTGACCCTGAAATAGGGAGAGTATCCTGGGCATCTAGGTGGGCCAGTGTCACCACAAGCGTTCTCGACAGTGGAAGAGGAGGTGTGGGGGAGTGCTTGAGGTGAGAACATGGGGCTCGACCCCCTGCGGCTGGCTCTGAGTCTGGCGGAAGAGCCAGGAGCCCAGGAAAGCAGGGCCTCCAGGCCCCGGGCAAGGCAGGGCTCTGTCCCCGAAAGCCCCCAAGAAGGCAGTCCTGCCGACACCTGGACTTTAGCCCGCAACACCCACCGGGGACTTCTGACCTCCAGAGCTGTGACCCAAGGGACGGCCATCTCACCCCAGCAGGTCTGTGCCCCGGGGTCTGTCACACAGGGGATGGGGCGCGGCTGGCTGTGGGTGTGTTCGGGGCATCCCGCTGTCGCCAGGGGCAGAATGTTCACGTGCTTCCCGTGGGCTCTGCAATCCCTGAGCGGTTTCAACACCCGAGCCTTGCGATGAGCCTGAAGGGTTTCGGGGAGCAAGTCCCCTCCTCTGCTGGGGAAGCAGCCCAGAAAGTGGTGGCAGAAAAGTGTGAACGTGTGTACGTGTCTTGCTTGTGGATACGTGCTGCTCAGGAACTGACCAAATGGGAGGAAGAAATGAGGTTGGAGAGCTGAAGGCCAAGAGCGTAGCTGCTTGTTTTATTTCCGTATAAAGAGCAGGGGGGCATGAGGACGCCAGGTGGCCCTGCCCAGAGCGAGGCACAGCAGGGACGGCCGCCAGCAGCCCCCCCTGGCCCCGGGCTTCGCTACCCACACACCGTCCACCGTCTCCTGCCAGTACCCGTCCCGTCACGTGGCCAGGCTCTGTGCAGAGTGCACACGTGCACACGGGCCCACCCACGCACACCACACACGTGCACACACGGACACCACAATACACCACATGCCTGTACAAGGCACACGCGAATATACAACACACAGGCACACGCACACACGTGTGCACACAATACTACACAGGCCACATATACACGTGTGTGCATGTCGACACAATACACCACACACACGTGAGTATATAACCACACACACCTGCACATGTGTGTAAACACAGGCACACACCACACACCACAGATGCACAAATATGCTCACACCATACACATGCACACAAGAATAGCCACACATGTGCATCCATATACCACACAACACATATGTGCACACACTGACACACAAGCCACGCATGCACGCACACACACGTTCATACACACACTGCACACTGCACGTGTGCACGCACTCGCACGCCGGCCACGCATGCACGCGCACACACACGTTCATACACACACTGCACACTGCACGTGTGCACGCACTCGCACGCCGGCCACGCACGCACGCACACACATTTATACACACACTGCACACTGCACGTGTGCACGCACTCACACAAGCCACGCATGCACGCACACACACTGCACAATGCGCGTGTGCACGCACTCGCACGCCGGCCACGCATGCACGCAGAAGCTCCAGCAGGCCCCCACACACAGCTCTCAGTGTGGAGTGGATGGCCACAGTGTCCCACCTTCCCTACGAAGATGCCACCCTGCAGCCGCAGGGGCTGGCAGCAGCCCGAGCATGGAGTGAGGGGACGGGAGGAGCAAGACGCTTATCTGCAGACTATCATTGGCAACCACACAGAAAGGCCAAAAATTATTGTTATCCTAGAAAAAGATTACACTTCATAAAACCCATGTTTATTCAAAAAATCTATTCAGAAAGTCTGGAAAGCGTAATAAATATCTGTATAGTGGCCGCCCATCTCAAACATAAAATACAAAGCGTGAACATAAGAATGACCTGTAAACACAGATGCGGGCTTGTAAACAAAGTGCTGAGTCGGGGTCTGGGTTGGAAGCGTGCTCCACGGGCGACCAGCGGTGGCGAGTTCGAGTCTCCCGGGTTTCCTCCCGAGCTCTGCGAACCCACGTCTTCTCTCCACCCAGGGACCTGCAGTGTCCTTTTCCATTCTAGAATTTTAAGGACTCTTGGAGAGGTGAAGGGCAACAAAACCATTTGGAAAGAAAAAAAGAGTGCAAATCAAGTTCGTCATGTGCTTGAGAGAATCAGTCAAGTGTGAGGCAACAGTCCCAACGTGAGGCTTTAGGAGTAACACCACTGAATGAACAATACCGGCTAACGTTAAGTACTATTATCACTTAAAATGCTGGACAATCTTCCAGGCATCAAGACACACAAAGTTAGATTAAAATCACGGACAATCTGACCTAAGGATACAGGTGAAATCTCACTCTTGCCCAAATTTGACTTGGGGGCGGCATCTGGCAGAGCCCTCACTCTGGTGGGGTGAGTCAGGTGTTCCTGTCAAACAGGGGGGCCTGCAGGTGGGGCGAGACCACAGTGGGCTCCCTGGGGGGACCGTGGGGCAGTGGGGGAGGCGGCCCAAGGACCAGGGCTCGGTTTTCTCACAAGAGTCTGTGGGCTATGATCCAGAGGGGGGATGGGTCCACGGTCTGTGGGGCTATGATCCGGGGTGGGGGGGACTGTTCCGCGGTCTGTGGGGCTATGATCCGGGGAGGGGGACTGTTCCGCGGTCTGCGGGGCTATGAATGGGGGGGGGGGGACTGTTTCACGGTCTATGGGGCAGCCATCTGACTCCCTGTGGTCTGGCTGCCTGTGTGAAGCCCTGGAGCTGCTCAGGGCCGGCAGGGGTGCGCCCCACAGGGGACGCAAATGAGAAGTAACCCCTTCCTTCGCACCCCACTGCTGCTTAGAAGGCTCAGCCGCTGGCTGCTCCACTGGACCTCGGAGTTCGGTTTAAACTGTGGTATCGACGTCTCTAGGCTGACTTTGTGGAAGGGTTTCAAGTATCACCGCGCTCTGGATAAGGTGAGAAAGCAGAGGTATTTCACAGACATTCAAGTAGAGTTGGTTCAGCACGGTCTCTGCGGCCACCGCCGCACCCTGGCCTTGGCTAAGGGCACGACGTGGTGCAAGGTGAGCCCCGGGTCGCTCTGCGGCTCTCGGGGTGTGGCAGGTGGGGCTGCGTGCGTGGTGGCACCGAGAGAGCGCACGAGCAGGAGCCGTGGTGCGCAGGGAGCACCCGCTGTCCCCTCTCCCCGCCCGCTCCTGGGCTCCTGTCCCCTCTGGCCCGCGTCCCTCCGTGCTCCAACTCTCGGCGAGCAGCCCGGCCGCCGGGCGGCACACGTCGGCCGTGGGAACCCTGGAGCAGTGGCCTGGGCAGCAGACGGAAGGTGTGATGACCTTGGTGCCTTCCCAGGAGGGCAGACCCGGGACCTAAGGGCTATCCAGTTTCTCCTAAGCTTCTAATAATAGATCAAATAATTCAGACCTAAAACAGAACTATTGTGAACCAAGCCTTTGTGGCCTCGGGGAAAAGCATTTTCTAGTGAGAAAATAGGGGAGATGCCTAATGAGGCTTTGTGGGAAACAGGTTCAAGAACCTGCCCCCTCTCCCCCCCCCCCCCGCTTTTACATCTGGTGGTTCTCTGAGGGGGGAGAAAGGCTCACAGAATTATAAAAGCTTCTGAAAAAAGGTTTCATTTTAAGGTCTGAACACAACTGGAGCAAGCGAAGGAGTTATACTCAGAATGCCGCATGTTGTTTTTTGTCTTTTTGAGGTGGTGTAGTTGGTTGAGATGGGGGATGAAGGGAACAGTGAAATGTGTCTTCTTAGTGAGATCTGGCTGAGGGCTGCAGGTGCCCTGCACCCAGCGAGGGCAGCGGGGAGTCTTGGGCCGGCCTGGGGGCACCCCCGGTGGGGCCGGTGGGAGGACACCGAAGGCCACACGCTCTCTCCCCTCCTGCCCAGGCAGTGGTGCCGAGCCTGTCCGGTTTCAGTTAACAAGAGGCGCACAGCCCCCTCCCTCGGCACCGCGCCCCTCCTGTGTGCACGCGCCCCAAGGGAAACATTAAATGTCACTGCAACATCAGGTGAAAACCGGAAACACAAATGCAACACAAAAGCACAGCTTCTACAAAGTGCATGGCTACCCTGGGTAACCCACCTTTCGGCTCCCCTCCGGGCCCCAGGGCGGCAGCAGGGCCTCCCGTGCCCCCCTCCCGGCTGCATGGGACTGAGAGCACGCCTTGAAGGAAGGGACAGAGCTCAGGGTTGCCAGGGCTCACGGATCTCCCATGGACCGGAGAGGGGAAGGTGAACACAGCAAAACCACGGCTTGGAAAGCACAGGAGGCTGACGTAAGGCCGCGGCCAGACGTCAGGCCCAACACGCTCTGGGAACCTGGGCGGCCTTGGCCACGGCTAGAGCCAGCGCGGGAGCGTGGAGCCTCAGCCCTGCAGCCCTGGCCGTGGCGGGAACAAGGACACAGGGCGGGGGGCACAAGCTCTCGCTGGCTCCTCCCCAGGCACGCACCATTCTTGTGAAAAGAGGCTCCCCGGGTGAAGATACCGCCTGCCGGTTCTGGGCTCTTCCCCCCGTGGGTCCGCGACCCAGAGAGAACACCCAGCACCTCAGTCAGGAAGAAGGGCGATGGGACAAGGGCTCTTTGGATCATTGGGAGGGACCTGGCGTCTACTCTGGGTGCCATGTGCCGACCCTGTCCTTCTGGCAACCCCAGACCGCAGAGGCCAGCCCCGCCCGGGGAGGCTGTGCCGTAAGCTGGTCAGCGCGTCCGCCCACCCGAATCACTAGGACACGTGTGTCGGAAACCTGACCCAGTTACTGGCTTTATCATTGGGAAAAACCCTCTCTCTGTAAATATAAGCCATGATCGTAAGAGACCCACGGAGTCCGAAGGAACCCTACAGGCATCGGGCGTGGTGGTGTGCAGTGAAATGAGTCTGTCTGGCTTTGCTCGGGGTAAGGAGGCGGCAAGGCTGGCACAGCAGGGCGTGGGGAGGTCACCGGTCTGGATCCAATCCCGCTGGCGAGCAGGCGCGGAACGAGCGGAGGAACCTGGGCCTCCGAGCCCGGCGTGGGCACTGCGGCAGCGCCCGACAGCCCAGGACGCTCGGCAGGGCCCGCTCGTGCTAGAGCCTCGTGGACGTGAGTCTCTTCATGCCCCTGCGCTGCGCCAGGCCGGACGACAGGACGGGCTCCAGCCGCGGGGCCTGCGGAGCCCTGTTCAGAGCCAAGTAGGTGGCGGCCATGGCACCCTGGGGAAGGAAGGGAAAGGGCGGCTGACCGCGGTGCCCACCCCCTCCCGAGCGGGGGCCTGGGGCCTCTCCGAGCTGTCCTCTCCCACGCACAGCGGGGCCTGCAGGACCCCGGGGCCGGGCGTGTCCGGCACACTCTGGGTCCTCCTAAATGATGGCGCTTCTGTTCTATTGCCGTCCCACACCCGCCTGGGGTTGTGCGTGTGACCTGAGGTGTTTCAGACTCGCAGGGAGCCCCGGGATGAGGTCACACGACCCCTGCTCTCCGGCATGTTACCACACCAGCCGGATCTCAGGAGACGGGCTTTACCCTCCAAGGACTGACCCTTGTGGCCTCAGTCCTCCCCACGAAGCTCCAAGCAGCCTCTGCCAAGCACGCGAGGCAGAGGCTGCTCGTGCCCGGGGTGTGGACCCCAGTCCTCGGATGTCAGCCAGTCCGTGTGGACTGCACTGCAGTGTGGGTGTGCCACGACCGAGCTGGCCCGAGGCCACCATCTGGCTGCAGTTGGGTCTGGTGACGCCTGGCTTTGGTGACTCTGATCACAGTCGCACCGCACGGTCGGACACAGCAAGGTGGGGTCGTCGGATGGCAGGGTCTACCGAGACCCAACAGTTGAATGAGCAGCTGCTCTGAAGCTGAGAACCTTTTGATCCCTGGGCACAAGACGATCTCAGTGATGCCAGCTGTGGCCTGACCTCTGTTCCCTCCACAGCCTTGTGTCTCTGTCAGGGGCTCCAGGGGTCAGGATGCTCTCGTGGAAGCTGTGCAGCCAGGTCCCATGTGGCACGTGCCCTGGCAAGTGTCTCAGGAAAATGGGGTGCGCCCTCCGGCCCAGCCCAGCGCCCCCGCTCCCGGGGATCAACTTTTCCTATGGCCCAGCGGCACGCAGCCACTTGGAGGGCCTTTCTGGGCCACAACAGGAGATTTGAGGAGGAGCAACAGAGACAGCCGGCTCCGGAAGCCTACAATACTTACAGTCTGGGCCTCTACACAGAAGTCTGTGGACGTCTGCTCTAGAACCCAGGACTTTGGCACCTTGAATTGGTGCAGATGTACCACTCCCTCCACCTCTCTCTCTCCCTCCCTCTCTCCACCCCCATCTGTCTGTCTGTCTGTCCTACTTTGTCTCCCTCCCTCCTTCCGTGTCTGTCTCTGTCCCACATGCACACACACAAACACAATGAAGCTGCTCAGGATTGTTAACAGAAGTTATAACTTATTCAGAATTTTGTGTGTGATTGCTTGTATGTGAAGAAATGTGTAAAAGTAAATTAATTAGGGATACCTGTTTGTGCCTCTTACTGGTTCGCTATCTGGTTCCCATACTGTGGTTTCTTTAGGTTATTTTGAGGGGGATCAGGGTAACTTTCCTGGGCCCCCCACCCCCAGCATCTTGCTCTCATGACTCCCTGTCCATACCTTCACCAGGTGGACGTCTTGTCTGCTGAGCTGGTTTTGGGACAGGTACTCTCTGTTGACAATCCACGGGTGTTTTAGGACTTGAACGGCCGTCAGGCGCTGATGAGGATCCACATGGAGCATCTTGGACACGACATCCTATAAGGGAAGACAGCAGAAGCCGGTTCGAAGAGCCTCCTGTGCAAAATTCCTTCATTCCCTCTCACGGCAAAACCTCACCATTGTTCTGACCGATTCTCTGCATTTGGGTGTCAAATGTTTATTTTCAGCCTTAAAAGTATGTGAATGATTTTTGAATTTTAATTATCATCACCTTGGTGGCTCACCTCAGGTTTATATCGTGTTAAAGATCTTACATGCAAGGAGAAATCAAATGTAGAAATGTTGAATGATGCATGTAATTTACTGAACTGCTATTTTAGTAAAAATGATACCCTTCCAAAGGGAGAAGCTAGGTAACGACTAGCTTAACATAATATAAACCAGTTATGACAATGCATATGTAGTGTCACTTTTATTAGCACTGTCCCCAAACATTTGCTACAAATCAGCACCAGCCACAGAACTGTCCATCTGAAGCCATTACGTGGGTCCAAGGGGCCAATGTCCCCTAGGGGTGATTTTCTTATGTGACTGTAAGATAATCACAATAAAGATTCTTACGACTGTGGCTTAAAGACAAAGCTCCACTTAACATTCACACATGGCATGACACGCACATGCATGTGCACACACACACAATTACAACTGTGATGTGGATCTGCATGGCATTCATGAGGCCGTCTGCACATGCGTGATACACCTGTTCTTGAGAGAGTCATCGGGATAGTGCTTGGGGGAAAGAGGGCCAATATTACTGTCCCTGTTTTGCAGATGACATTTATAGTGATCAAACAATTGTCCAGGGAAGAGCCATGATGAGAATCTGTGTTTTCCTGCTAGGCTGCTCACCTTACTCTGGTATTCCCGTGGCATTTCACAGGGAAATAAGGGAGTTAGCGTACGTACACGATATGATGATGATGCACTCAACAGAATTTCTGGTCATAAACCACAACAGAGAAATACTATAGACTAATCCAATATCCCTTTTTGAATAGAAAAATCAAATGCCTTTTAATATTTGGTAACACTGATCTTAGTAACTTCTTGAAACAAGTATCTCCTAGAAGCAGTATTGTTCCCATTTCCACGGGTAAGACTGAAAGCAGAGAGACCTGTGTTGTTTGCTCAAGATCTCAGAGTAAAGCAGTGTTTCTATGCAGTACCTGCAAGCTGCACTGTAACAACACACAAATCCATAGACTTTGTCTGATTTTGGAGAACTGGAGGTTTTGTTGCATGTTTGGGGAACACAGAGAGGGGAAAAGGCATGGGGCAGGTGAGGCAGAAGATATGGTGGTGAAGGAGCAGGAAGAAGTCGTCAAGGTCCCAGGAGGCAGTGAAGCCCTCTGCCTGCAGCAACAATCCTGGTACTTGACTTGATTGCTTTCCTGACACCTTCTCCCTGGCCCCCACTCCCGCTTCCAAGGTCGCCTCAGAAACCACCAGCACCCAAGTCCTGGTCTACTTTGGGGACCAGAACTAGACAATGCCTATACTCTTTTGAGACAGAGTGGATGGATGGGAGCACTGGGAGTGTCAGGGTCTGACACATGGGAAGTGCTTGCTAAAGGCCAGGTGCCTTCTCTTCTGCCATCACCTCTGCCGTGACCTCCATAATCACCTCTGCCACCTCCTTCACCATCCCCTCTGTCCTCTCTTCCATCATCTTCTCTACCGTCTCTTCCACATCTCCACCATCTCCTCCACTATCATCTCTGTCATAACCTCCATCATCTTTTCCACTATCTTCTCTACCACTCCCTCCACCATCATCTCTATCATCTTCTCCACCGTTCCTTCCACCACCTCCTTGACCATGCCCTGTCACCTCCTCCATCATTTTCTCCACCATCCCCTCCACCATCTTCTCTGCCATCTCCTCCACTATCTTCTCCACTATCACCTCCACCATGACCTCCATCATTACCTCCACCATCTTCTCTGCCATTCCCTCTGTCATCTCCTCCATCATTTCCCTCACTGTCTCTTCCATATCTCCTCCACAATCTTCTCCACCATCCCCTCTGCCATCTCCTCCACCATCTTTTCCACCAACACCTCCACCATGACCTCTGTTATCACTTTCATCACCATCTTCTCTGCCATCCCCTCCGTTATCTCCTCCAACATCTTCTCCATCATCACTTCTACCATCACCTGCATCATCTCTTCTACCATCACCTCCACCATCATTTCTACCATCTTCACCAACCCCTCTGCCACGTTCTCCATCATCTTCTCTGCCATCACTTCCACCATGACCTCTGTCATTATCTCCACCATCATCTCTGCCACCTCCTCCACAATCTTGTTCACCACTTCCTCCACCATCACCTCCATCATCTCCTGCACCATCTCTTTTACCATCACCTCCACCATCACCTCCACCATCTTCTCCACCACCACCTCCATCATCTCCTGCACCATCTCTTCTACCATCACCTCCACCATCTTCTCCACCATCACTTCCATCATCTCCTGCACCATCTCTTCTACCATCACCTGCATTGTCACCTCCACCATCTTCTCCACCATCACTTCCATCATCTCCTGCACCATCTCTTCTACCATCACCTCCACCGTCACCGCCACTGTCTTCTCCACCATCACCTCCTTCATCTCCTGCACCATCTCTTCTACCATCACCTCCACCATCTTCTCCACCATTGTCTCTGCCACCTCCTCCATCATCTTCTCCATCATCACTTCCACCACCTCCTCCATCATCTTCTCCATCATCACTTCCACCACCTCCTCCATCATCTTCTCCGTTATCACTTCTACCATCACCTCCACCATCCCCTCTGCCATCTGCTCCACCATCTTCTCTACCATCTTCTCCACCATCCCCTCTGCCATTTCTGTATGAGGTCACACAGTGATGATGATGGCAGTACTAGAATCAGAACCCCGACGGTCTACTCCTCTCCCAGTCATTTTACGGCAACACAGGAAATAGACTGAGGCTGCTTCTTCCGAGTGGTGGTGTTATCATTGACTATTTGATTAGAGAGGAATTGATGATCTCAACTGAAAAAGACTAAGTCTGATGTCTCTTTAAACAAGGTTGGTCACAAATAGTGAAGCTGCAGGGAAGCCTCAGTGCAAAGAGTTTTAAAGTAACAGAAATACACCTCTGTCCCAGAGTTCTTCTTGATCAGTCTGTGATCATTCAGGGCACTCAGTTTGCAACATCACTAAAACTGTGATAGTTAATTTTATGTGTCACCTTGACACCTCCGTCCCAGAGTTCTTTTTGATCAGTCTGTGATCATTTAGGGCACTCAGTTTACAACATCACTAAAACTGTGATAGTTAATTTTATGTTTCACCTTGGCTAAGCCATGGTCCCCTGTGTTTGGCTAAACACCAGTCTAGATGTTGCTGTGAAAGTCTTATTTAGATGAGATTAACACTGAAATCAGTCAACTTGGACTAAAGCAGATGACCCTCCATGATGTTGGTGGGCCTCATCCAATCAATTGAAGCCTTAAGATAAAAAAGACCAAGGTTTCCCAAGGAAAGGGAAGTCTGCCAGCAGACGGGCTTTGGACTCAAGCTGTAATGCCAACTCTTCCCTGAGTTTGCAGTCTATGGACCTACTCTGTAGATGTTACACTTATTAGCCTCCACAATCTCATGAACTGATTCTTAAAAACAAATCTTTCTTTCTCTGTATCTATGCACATCCTATTGATTCTGTTTCTCTGGAGAACCCTAGTACACCAAGACAGTAGAAAATGTGAAAAGTGCTGTAAGAAGACTTTTGCAAAAAACCACTTTTTTTTTTTTTAACTGAGAAGCTAAAAAAAAAATCTATGAGATAAAATACCTGAGTTATTTATATGAAAGGTATCCTCTAGCTTCCTCACAAATACAATGGTTAATACAGAATCTCCACACCTGAGAAGCAAGAGCACTGGAAAACACTCACCTTTGCGGCATCGGAGATTGAGTCCCAGTTTCCCCCAGAAAGGGCGTACTTCCCACTGCCAATCCTTGCCAGAATCTCCTCAGGAGTATCATCTGGTCCATTTGCAAATGGGGTAAATCTGTGCAATGAGAGAATGCATGGTATGAGTTCTGATTTTATGACCTACAGTAAAGTCCACAGCTTGCTATTGCCTCTTTTTGTTGTTGTTGCCTTTTTTTTTTTTTTTTTTTTTTAAGTAGGCTCCACACCTAACATGGAGCCCAGTGTGGGGCTTGAACTCACAAACCTGAGAGCAGGAATGGGCAAGATCAAGAGTCAGACGCTTAACCGACTGAGCCACCCAGGCACCCCTGCCTCTTTGTTGTTAAAAAAATAGCTCTTTCTTTGCCATTGCACTCCAAATTCAGGAGTCATGGGAAAGCGTCACTTATTTCTTAAGCTATGTCCATCTTCCTAAGTTGGTCATTGGTGTAGGTCGATAAGGCAAGTGTAGAAAACTCTAGGACCCAAGCATGAGCATCCCTGGACCCTTCCTGGCTCCCCTGGTGACCGAGTGTTTCAATGGTTGGCCCGGTCATTCAGTTTCCACACTGAGACTGTGGTATAATGGAGGAGAACCTGAGATTTGAAGTCTGATAGACCTATGGTTGGTCTATTACCAACTCTGGTTCTCTGATAAATTAATGTTTTAAGACTTGATTGCACAATGGGGAGAATAAAACACTCACAGGGATCTACATGGACACATATAAGATGCCATCCGCATCTGCCCCACTGTGAGTTATTCCATCAGCTCCCAACATTATCCAGGGCATGTCGATACATGCCTGTTAGAAAAGGAATTGTATGTGATCCTCACGGCACTTCCTTTAGTGGCCAGGTTGGTGATCTGAGGTTTATGTACAGACAACGTGAGTATCAGAAGAATCGCAGGGCAATCCAACAGTGTGATGTCAGGAAGGTCCGGGATGCCTTCCCTGCTACTGTGGTCCTCAAGGCACAGCCCCAGGCTCACACGTCCGCCTCCTTTCACTACAGACACTGATCACTCACTTATCACGAGATGCCTCATTAAGGCCACAGAAAAAACAGGCTACTCCCATTCATTCTTACCAGGGCCTTTTGTCCATTTTATTACAGTGAGCAGGGCTGGATGGTCTAGAGCTCTTTTTTCCTTCTGTGCAAATCCTTAATAAATTTAAAAATATAGGTCCTTCTGGGGTTCTTTGGATCCTAGACCTTTAAGGCTGGAAGCCTTGAATACACAGTGTCCTCTTCTCATTCAAAAGTGAGGGAAGTGAGGCCAATAAAGGTCAAGGAGTCCAGGCCAGAAACAGAGCTGATGAGGGGAACACCTCGGACTGGAAGCAGATGTGCACACAGCAGACCCAACCCTCCTTCTGTAAGGCCGGCTGTCTCATCTGGCGGCCACACAAGTCAGTCACCTGCTTTTACCTGGCTGCCTTTCTTGAGGTGCTCTTTGACCTCGAAGGCTTTAGGGGTGCTTCTTAACTCAAGAGGATGTTTTTAAGAGAAGATGTTGCGACCCCTTAAGGGGGTGGCCTGGTGCCAGGAAGAATGTGGACAGATGGTCAGAGGCTTGGGTTTTTTGTTGATGAGCTGAGTTCTGTGCTCCAGTTCCCTAATTCTGGAGATACATTTTAAAGAAAACATATGGCCAACTTTCTTTTTTTTTTTTTTTAAAGATTCTATCTATTTATTTTGACAGAGAGATAGACAGAAGAGCACAAGCAGAGGGAGTGGCAGAGGGAGAGGGAGAAGCAGGCTCTGCACCAAGCAGGGAACCCGATGCAGGACTCGATCCCAGGACCCTGAGATCATGACCTGAGCCGAAGGCAGACGCTTAACCATCTGAGCCACCCAGGTGCCCTATGGCCAACTTTCTTAATCCCTACTCTTTAGTTGTCCTGAAAGGGCTAAGGAGGTGTTTACCCAAGACCTGTGAGTGCGTCCCCGCCTGTGGCACCGGGGCAGGGCTGACCCTGGGCTGAAGAGACAGCCCCTGAGACGTCTGCCTCATGATGTCTCGGGCACACATGCCATCGCATGCTGACTCCTATGGGAGAGTGTGCATTACCCCGCCAGCATGGTGTACAGCAGGGTCCCCAAACTCCAGATGTCACATGCTGCATCGTAGCCTTGCCGCTTCAGGACCTGGAGGGGGAAAGCAGACGACAGATGAGCTCTTGGTGAAGAAAGTTCAAGTTCATAGGGTGTTGTTCTGATGTGGCCATGAGCTGGACAGGTGGGGAACAGGGGGATATCCTTTATTAACGCCAAGCCAACCATGATGCTCTGCAATAGGATTCCCCAAAGACCAGCGCACACATGGGAACCACAGCTCTTGCTAGATACGTGACAGATAGCTTGGAAACACTTATTTTAAGGCAGAACTTTAAAAAAATTATGGCAAAGTATACGTAGCACAAAATTTACCATCTTAATCAGTTTTAGGAGCACAGTTCAGTTGTTCAATGATCTCCATCCATCTCTTTCTTCTTGCAAAACTGGAATTGTCCCCATTACACAGCCACTCCCCACGCCCCGCCCCCAGCCCCTGGCTCCCACCCTCCTCCATCCGTCTCTGTGGATTTGGCTGCTTTAGGACCTCATATGAGTGGAATCATACAGTAATTATGCTTTTCTGCCTTGCTTATGATGTGCCCAAGGTTCATCCATGTTGTAGTGTGGGACATGATTTCCTTCCTTTTTAAGGCCAATACTCCTTTGTATGAACGCACCACATTTCGTTCATCCATTCAGCTGTTGATGAACACATGGGCTGCTTCCACCGTCCGGCCATTGTGAATAATGCTGGTGTGTACCCGGGTGGGCAAACAGCTGCTCTTGTCTCTGCCTTCAGTGCCCTTGGATATTGGCCTTACTGCATTACTTGGTAATCCTGTGTTTAATTTTCTGAGGAACAGTTAAAACAGAAGAATCTTCATGTGTCCTAGGATTACATACTTCAACAGAGGGCAGTCCTCTGATGTAGTTATAGCTGAACAACAGTAAAGAGAGCAGCATAAATACTCATGGATTACTGTACATTACTGGATTTAGCATTGATCTGGAGTCAGGAGAGCTGGGTTCAACTTTCTTAGACACAAGGGCAAGGATGCCACCTTTCCGTCATCATATCACTGATGCTGTGTTGGGCCAGCGGCGTGGTTGTTTAAGCCCGTGCGTCACTAGCTGAGTGACCTTCAAAAGTCACTTGAACACACTGAATCTGTTTTTGTTTTTTAATCCATTCAGTGTGGCCAGTAGTATCTACCCTGTGTACCTCATATGGCATATGAAGATAAGAGTAAAAACTATTGGTAAAAGGGCTTTGTAAATGGTAAAGTAATATACCAATTTAAGATATTCTATAATCGCTAAAATCAATACTATCAATATTAATATTGATCAAGTAAGGCAACAAAGAGGCTTATAAGCAGATTATGTTACAGGGGGCTACAGATAGCATCTGGGTAACCTGAAAGTGGCTTCGCAGCCCACCTCTGGGGGCCCCATGCCCATCCATATCCCGGTTCAGCACCCTGCTGCCTTCCTCGCGACCGATGGTGGGGGCCACCTCTCAGTTCGAAGACCCACTACTGGTGCCCGGGGACCTCCTTTTTTTCTCTTCTCTTCTCTTCTCTTCTCTTCTCTTCTCTTCTCTTCTCTTCTCTTCTCTTCTCTTCTCTTCTCTCCTCTCCTCTCCTCTCCTCTCCTCTCCTCTCCTCTCCTCTCTTCTTTCTTTCTTTCTTTCTTTCGTAGACTCCATGCCGAGCATGGAGCCCAATGTAGGGCTCGAACTCACGACCCTGAGCTCAAGATCTGAGCTGAGATCAGGAGTCGGACACCTTTCTCTTCGGACTTGCTGTGCGCTTCATTGCAACCCTGGTCCAGTTTCAGCAATAGCCAGAAGGATCCGCACAGAATCCAACATCTGTTCTGCTTCCTGACCCCTCATCCCACCAGCCACGAGTCAGTTCTGATCTAGTGGCCTCTCAGGTTTTGTTGATACTTAAAGCAAGAAACTGGGTCTGCCTCATAAACACATCAGTGACTTCAGAGCCTAACGAAACCATCCCCAGGGAGCCTGAGAAGGGCCAGATGTGCAAGATGGTGCTGCCGAAATTCTCCAAGGCTCTGGATGCGGCTGAGAGCCCTCCCGTGCAGAACACTATGGGGCCTCATATTAAATCCCACAGCGCACACGGAGCTGATCCAAATGGTCTATTGCATGGTAACAATTTTACATAAAAACATCACCATTAACAATTTTACAAATAGGACAATGATAAAATAACTGTGTTTGAGCAAGGTCAGTGGCTGGTTCTTTTTTGACTCATTTCTCCTCTCTGACATGACTGCTCAACTAAATCAAGATGACTCTGATGTACCAAACGATCCACAGCTCGGAACTCTTACCTCCGGGGCAACGAAATTTGCCGTGTAGCAGGGTGTCATCAACAGCCCGTTCTCAGCTCGAAGCTGCTTGGCAAACCCAAAGTCACAGATTCGGATGGATTCAGGGTTTCCAGACTCGTCCATATACAGTATATTACTCGGCTTCAGGTCTCGATGCACCACCTGGAAAGGCAGTGGGCGAGGTTGAAGCAGGAAGGGGAAGGGGGAAGCATTCAGAATATAAGGGGTTTTTTGGGATTGTGACCCTGAGCAGGTCCTGCAGCTGGAAGCCGGTCCGCTGGGACGCTATGTTCTTTAGGGCGGGTCTTCCTTCCTCTCTTGCTCTTGTATTGACACTCAAGTAAATAAGAAGCTACCCCAAATGAGAGAATTATATACAAGGAAATGTCGCTCTGAACTCAGGTGATGTGCACAGAAAGATTTCTACAGGTAGATGTTTACTGGGCGCCCAGAACGCTCCAGCGCTGTCAGGGGCTCACTAGAGAGCGAGGCAGACATGCAGCCTTTGTCATGGGGCAGGTGACTCCTGGGCAGCGATCAAGCGACCGACAGGAGCCCTACCTGCACCTGTGGCGGGGGAGGCGCAGGGCGCTCCGAGCACGAGGATGGGGGCGGCGAAAGCCATCCTGACATCTCAAAGCAAAGCAGCTCTCTGGGGGCACACAGCGATTTCGTCTGACAGGGACAGAGGCTGATCGGGAGCACACATGGGTGCCCTCACACAGCCTGGCACCTGCTGTGCTGTTAAAACACAGGGGAGGAAGATGGAGGGAAGCTGAAGGGACACACACGGGCAGAGGCTCCAAGGGCAGGGGAGCAGGAGGGTTTGGGGCCAGGCCTATCACCTCCCTCATTAAATAGAAGCCAATCTGGAAAAACCATCATCCCACGGGTTTCCTCTAGAGTTCGTTCTGGGAAAACGCTTCGCGCTCCCAGACCACCGGGTGACCACAGAAAGGCCTGTGGTGTGGTCCTGGAGGAACATCCTCCAGTTCGGAGGTGGCTGCATTTTATTTTATTTTATTTTAATTTTTATTTTTTTAAAAGATTTTATTTATTTATTTGATAGAGAGAGACACAGTGAGAGAGGGAACACAAGCAGGGGGAGTGGGAGAGGGAGAAGCAGGCTTCCCGCTGAGCAGGGAGCCCGACACCGGGCTCGATCCCAGGACCCCAGTGGAAGGAGGACGCTTAACGACTGGGCCACCTAGGCGCCCCAGTGGCTGCATTTTAAATGCTCATGACCACGGGGCAGGGCGGGCCACAGAAGCGCTGTCTGCTTCGCGGGAGGTGCCAGGCGATGGTCTGGAAGCAGACAGCCAGCCAGGAACCCCAGCTCTCCACTCACTCGTGTGCAACCAGCCCTGGGCAAGATGCCTAACCCCCCTCTGCTCTAATCTCCCGGTCTGTGAGCAGGTGTAATCGGAGCTCAGGGCTGCATGAGCAAAGGGCACAGAGCAGCGCCTGGAACCTGGTGAGGGCCTTGGCCAAGCGAGCTCTCACTGTCTCTGTCCTCTGCAGGATTCCTTTGTGTTGGCTAAGGATTCAGTTGTAAATAGAGCAACATGTCCCTTTATCCAGCCCAAATACTTTTTCTCTATAACTGGTCCAGGTAAACTTAATTTCCCTACTAGCTGCGGGGCACAGTGTGTGTGCAATGATCTCAGACACGGAAGGGGTGGCGGTGACACAGAAGGAAGCCAGGACAACGGGGGTCCCCAGCTCTGGAGCCAGGGAACTCTCTCCCGGTCCGGTCTCTCCTGTTTTTGTGTTGGCCGTGCGGCCGCAGGCTGATTACCCCCTGGGAGTGGAGGTAGTCCATGGTCTTGGTGATGGTGCACAGTACATCACTGGCCTCCCGCTCTGAGAAGTAACGCTGCCGGAGGATGCGGTCCAGGAGCTCTCCGCCGCGCATCAGCTCCATCACCAGATACACGAACTTCCCGTCGTCGTAGACCTGGGAGGCGGAGAACGGAGCATGCGGTCACCCTGGCGGCCTCCACACCGCCCCGCCCGCGCAGGCCGGCCTGCCATGGGGGAGAAGGGCAGCCCCGGAGGCAGCCCCGGCCAGCGCAGAGGCTGGGGGCTCAGTGCTCTCCCGGGTGTGAAAACAAGGCTCCGGGTGAAAATGAGTGAATGGCCATTCCAGTCATATCCGACGTGGTGCTCAGGGAAAACCAGCTTTAGTCATCTGCTGCAAAGCAGGGAATGAGTCAGCGAGGCCAGGAGCTTGCAAGGTGAGACTTTAGCTGACATGACTTGTCCTGATCTGGGCCCCCACCCCCCTCTGCCATGGAGAACTTCGGAGGTGGAGCTGGGCTGTGGGCCCAGAGCAGAGCTCCTCAGACTTCAGTGTGCACAGCCCCAGGGGGTCTCGTTAGCAGGCAGGGTCCGGGCCAGCAGGCCTGGGTCATGTCCAGCCGGCCCCAGCGGCCCTCCCTCCCCCTGCACCGTGGACGAGAGCCTCAGAGCTGCCAGACTCCGGAGCCCGGCAGGGAGGGGAGGCAGAGGGAGACAGAATCTGCCATTTGCAACAGTGCTCTTATCTCAGGAAAGCAATGGCAAAAGAGAGTTTTGTCACACCACCTTCACTCTCATGAGCTTAAACAACAGCCCCACACCCCCCTGCTCTGGCTCTTTCCATGACATGCTCGTGTGGGCCGCAATCTCCCTGCACACCGGTGCCCAGGCATTCGGAGGACCTCATGGAAACGGGGCCGAGCATCTAAACACGAATAATTTTTAGCTTACGAATCAGTGAGTTTCCAGAACAATTCACTAAAATAATTTGCCTGACTCTGAGCTCAATGCAAGATGTAAAGTTGATTTTGGTGTATTTATTTCCAGTTTATGCCTCAAAAAAAAAAGCTCTACTTTTGAGAATGGACATATGATGGCATCTTTGGCTCAGAATCACTCACCCCAACATAATGAAAGTGGTTTGAAAAGCTTAGAAGTTTTCAAATGAGCTGACTTCTGCTTGTGCATCTTAACACATGAATAAACACCAAAACGGCCGGAGGACCGGGCTGCACCACGGAGGTGCCTGGGATCCACGGGGAGAAAGCCGGTTCACTTCACGGGTTAACACAGGGATTCACTTCACACTTTGCTCCGAGGTGAACTGGCATTTTGCAGTCCCCTTGCTCTAGGAATTGACGGGGCCCAGCGGGAAGTCGAGGTGGCCCCCAAATCTTGAGGGTTTGGGTTCACGACACTGGAATCATTCTGGAGTGTGAGCATGAAGGTGGCGAGGAGACAGCTCTGTGTCCCCTCTGGCCCCCGACACCACAGCCCTGGGCGCTGTGCGGGGCTTTGAGGGGCTGGACCCCTGCCCCCTTCCCTGTCCTGTGCTGGGGACCACTCATTGCCCAGCAGAGGCAGAGCAAGCTGGGAGGAGCCCCACGGCCAGAGCTTGGTCTGGGGTCTCAGAGCCGCCCCAGCCCCGTCTCAGCCACGCAGGACTCTCCGTTCCTGCTGTGTTTAGGAATGGCACCGAGCAATAACACATCTGGATGAGAATTTGCACCAGCTTCTTTCCCTCCTTTATAGTCCACGTTACGTGATTTGGGAGTGTGGTGGCGGGGAGGGGGCTGCTGTCAGAGGGACGGGAACTCAGGCAGCCGCCGGGTGATTTTAAGGGGCACGCGGTGGGGGCCGGCTCTGGCACACCCTCCCGGGGGTGGCAACAGTGACCCGTGAAGAGAGCCGGTACCAAACCAACGCTGGCTTCGGTGCCAGGTGAGGAAACGGGAGCACAGGGAACACGAACAGTGCTGCACGAACCCACTTACGTCTTTGAGGCTGATGATGTTCGGGTGCTGCCCGTACCTCAGGAGAATCTCGATCTCTTCTGAGGGGTCTCTCTTACTCTTATCGATGATCTGGAACAAGCAGAGCATGTGACATGAGGCTCTGGGATGGCATCAGCAGGCTCGGACCCTTTCTGTCTCCTCCCCCCTCCTCCCCTGCAGCTCACGCTCAACCGGGATAAGTGACAGTTGCCTAGAAGTTCAAGGCAATCCTCTTTCCCAACTAGCCTAAGAGTGACATTTACAAAAAGGAGGCACAAGGGGCGCCTGGGTGGCTCAGTCGTTAAGCGTCTGCCTTCGGCTCAGGTCGTGATCCCGGGATCCTGGGATCGAGCCCCGCATCGGGCTCCCTGCTTGGCGGGAGCCTGCTTCTCCCTCTCCCACTCCCCCTGCTTGTGTTCCCTCTCTCGCTGTCTCTCTCTCGCTGTCAAATAAATAAATAAAATCTTAAAAAAAGAAAGCCGGCACAAGCCTCAGACACGAATGTTAAGATATTACAGGGTTGGGTAGAGAAGGGTGGGCTTGGGGGGCTCACATGGGCACCACCAAATAGCAGCAGGTGCTTTCAATCACCGTGGCAGGCTCTGAGTGGGTGGCCCATGCTCTTCGCTCTGCCCAAAATGAGCCTCGAGTGGCTCTCTGCACATCTCTTGCTTTACCCGGCAGCAAAACACACCAGCCGCCACATGGGACCGAGGGCCTGGTCCTCCCCAGGAGATGCCGGGGCCGGCGTGCATGCTGAGTCGGCCACCGTGGCTTAGACACGAACCTTCCTTCCCCTCCGCCACCCAGCGTCTGCATTCCATGTCTTAGGATAACAGATAAAATCCTTCCACCCATGAAACCAGATGGCTTCCAAAGACAGGACAAGGTGCTGTGAATAGAAGCCTGCTTGGAACAGGGAAGCCTCTGTTGGCCGATGATGGCTGACATCTCTGCAAGTGCTTTACTTATGCCCTTGCTCCCACCCCTCTGGGGTGGAACCGGTGGGGGTGGGGGACGCCATCCAAGTGAATCCCAAGCACATGCGTTAGAAACGACACTCAAAATGGAAGAATCCCTCATACTGTTCTTGCACATTAGTTTCACCTAATTTTAAAATATTTGCTCTTTGGAGAATGTGCCGTGATTTGACTACCAGAGTAGGAGGGAGATTTGCTTTTACCTTCTCTCACATCAGACTCTAAGCAGAGCTTCGCGTGAGACTTGATCTCTTTCGTTTAGATGAGCGGAGTGCTTGGCAGCATCTGACCCACTGTTAGAACGCTGCCCCTGGATGCCCCTTGTCCCTCCCCTTCGCTGTCAGGATAGATCACCCCAGTGCCCATGCTCCGCTCTCCATCTCAGCTTTAAAGGCCGCAGCCGAGTTCCGATGACCCTGGCACCCCAGGACTGCAAGCCCAGTGGCAAGCGCTGTTAAACAAGCACAAAGTGAAGCTCCCTTTCTTGACACATTTTTCTCCTCTTGCTACATTTTACTCCACTAACGTTCTAGCGTGGACGCCAGGATTGCTTCTATTATTGAAGGAAGCTAGCAGATAATGCAGCGTTCAGAGGGAGGGGCTCTCTGAAGCCTTCTCCAGAAGCGTGGGGGTTCGTAAAGCACTGCCTGGACTGCGAGCTGGCCAGTGGGGTTCAAGACCCCTTCTGCTCCAATGGCGCATGGGCTCATTCAGTCTCTCGGGACTGTGACCTTGTCTTTGGAATTTGAGAAGGTCAAAATGCATTAGTGGATTTTTAAAAAAATTAGTGGTAGATTCATTTTTTTTGAATAAAATTTCATGATCAAAACGATGTATTCTCAGCATAAATCTGTTTTATCACCCTCACCGTGGAGCTGGAAGCAGGAAGCCTCTTCTTTCCTGCCAGTGGCCCCGGGGGCAGTTACAGGACCGGATGGGGCAACTGCACAGAAGGTGCACCTGACAGGAGCTGGGGGCTCTTCCTTCCTCCTGTGGGGTCTCCCTGTGGCAGGGCTGACCCGAAGCCAGAGGACAAGGCTGGGCGCTGGGGGTGGGGAGGCGGGGAGGCGGGTGTGCAGGGGAGAGGGGGCACCCAGCCCGGGAGGGCAGTCCTAGAACCGGGGAGGTACAGCTCCCACAGGCACCCTGCTGGCTTCCCACCAGCCCCCTGAGCTGGGCAGGGCTGACCTGGGGTCACACAGCTGCACGTTCTGTTCAGACTCAGGGTTTGTTTGGTCCTGTTGTCAGCAAGCGCCGGCTGCTTTTATCCACAAATCTTTTTCTGAAATTATTATTATTATTTTTTAAGGTGAGGAAGAAGAGTCTTGACAGAGACGCTGAGCCGTGAGGCAGGCTTACTGGTCCCTGAGCCCAGGCTGCAGTCTGAGCAGGGGGGATGGCAGGGCCCAGAGAGAGGTTCTGAGCATTTGTCTAGAAACGTCAAGGAATGAATTTCTTCTCTGTGGGATCAGTTTCCTGGGATTGCCATTGTTAGACTTGCTTCTAGTTCAAGAAAGCACTGGTGGATCAAGTTCCTTATTTTGAGAATAATACTGAGTTATAGTCTCAGGGAAGGAATTCTCAGTCATCGTGTTGATGAGCAAGGCCTGCTCTCCTCCGTGCTGGTGCTCAGATAATCTCATGGAACCACAAAGAAGGGGTGGGGAGGAACGGTCTCTGTGGTTCTCATCTCCCAGCAGCCGCAGAGAGCGGGCAGGACGCTGCCCGGGGTCAGTCCCCCACCACGGCCAGTAAACGAGCCTTCCACCGTGTTGCTCTTCAACAAGCTGTACGTTTACGGGGCTAAGTCAGCACCCCCGGGGACGCAATGGATGGCAGACGAGGACTCTCTCTGCTGGTGAAGCATATGGGGACGGAAGTATCAGGAACACTTCTCTTTTCTTCCTTTTAGTCAATCAGTCAATCAATCAATTAATGTAAGCTCTACACCCAACATGGGGCTTGAACTCACCACCCTGAGATCAATGCCGCTCATGTGCATTTTTATTCCTGGCTGCTGGAGATGGGAAGGGGCAGGAAGAGGCGTCAAGATACGAGGCCTCACCGTCCTCAGCATGCTTTTCCTCTTCCTCTTCCGTCTCTGTACCCCTCCTCCTTCCTCTTCCCCGGCTCTCCCCGGGTGCTCCCCTCCTGGGACACAGAGTACCGTGGGGAAATGGGCTTTGCGGTGATCCAGAGGAGGGGCTCACGGGCTTGCTGCATGTCCCCGGAGGCAGGAAATTTCCACGAGCTTGCTCCCAGGATCAATGCCATATGTGAACAAGGGTAGTCAAGCATGCGATCCTTCATAAGATTTCATAGACAACTTCTCTCTTACAATTAATTTAAACAAATGACACAGCGAGAGGACTGAGTTTTCCTGCTGGAAAAAATTAAAATTTCCATGCCGATCAGTTTTCCTTCTAAAAATAAGCTCTATTCATGTCAAACATTGGTCTCAATCCTGCTGCATTTTTGGATTTCAACTTACATACACATGAGAACATGAGCACAGGAGCGCTAATGCTCTTGTAACTGTCTGTCGTGAACACAAAACAGGCTCCGTGTCAGGACAGCCTACCCATCTCCTGGCAGATGTGCGTCGACCCCACCTCCTCCCTAGAATCAAGGACCGGGAGACATACACTCGCGTAACTTTAAGGATCTTGCTTCACTTTCACCTGAGTCTTCTGCTAAAACAAACTACAGTACTTCTAATAATAGAACAAAACTATGCTACTGAAGAGAAGTCGTGATTGTTAGGTGGAGTCAACCCCAACCCAAAGGTGGCAAAAGCAGTACCTTGGGTGTGCATGTGAGTTCTGCGGCCTGCGATCAGCACACACCCGAGTCATCCGCAGACACTGTCCAGAACTCTCTCAAGGCGCACCTACGTAGGCTTCTGAGAGGTTGAGACATTTATTGACACAAGGCAGCTTTTCCATAGTGAATGAGCTCTGATATGTTCCTACGCACTTGCCCATCAGCACAATGCCAGGAGTCCTTTTTATACAAACTGGCTTCCTGGGCTGTCCACAATGCGTGCCTGATCGTGTTGAGCCACAAAGACTCCAAAACAAAATAGAGACCAACAACCCTCTTAACGCAATTCATGTAAAGTGAGTACAGCACCTTTGATGGAGAGAATACTAATGATTTTTTCTATTCAAATAAACCTTTTCCCTTCAAGCGCTGCTCAATCCTACTTCCCTTCTGCACGTCGTAAATGATTCCGTGTTAACCTTATTTTAAACGGAAGATGCACTCAGGCCTGGCCATCTGTGCGGTTCTATGTCACGTTATTTCAAAGTCCTGCACAATTTCATCTCCTCTCCTCGCCTTCCGGGACTGGCTATGAAAGCAAAGGTGAACTTGAGTTGTGCATTGGAGTGTTGAGCGGTTTTGTCCCTCGGAAGCAGCTCCGCGTGCTAAGAAAGTAGGGCACATCTGTTCAACTGTCACGTGCCTGACAGAGGGGAGAGAAGAGAGGACGTCACGGTTTTCCCATCCACTCTCTCAGCATTAGGTGGGCACACTGGTGGGACATCCTACGCTGAGTCAGCCCAAGGTGGTGCCTGCCAGAAGGATGGGGGGCAGCACCTGCCTCACTGCCTGAGGCCAGGCTCTCCCGGGCGAAGATGCTGGGCAATCCAGCCTTGTTTGCCTTGGCTGGGAGGGAAGGATCAAGCCTAGGGATTCAGACTCTGCACCAACACTTACTGAGTCCCTGCTGTGTGTGCGTACTAAGCTAAAGACTTTGTCACGTGGTAGCTAGACGTGGCCTCACTAATTTTAAGAGCTGCACAGAAAAACGCAGCTGAGAATAAATGCAAAACCAACAATCTTGTTGACTGGGAATATACTTGGGTGGAGAGGTTTACATGTGGCCTTAAATGTCATTAATGGGATGACAGAGTATATAATTATGGCAAAATTAGGGGCCCATAAGACAGAGAAATAAGCTTAAAGCAAAACACAGTGATATTTCCAAGACGTGAGATCTAATATGTCCCACATGTGCTCTGAGGCTGTGGGCCTGGTCCGCGCGGGGCTGCGGGCGGCCCCCGCCCTTCTCTGGGAAGGCCGTGCCCCGGCAGTCCGGGCTTCGTCCGCCAGAGGGCCTGCCCTGCCCCTGAGTAGAGCGCAGGAGGCACTAGGCCCCGTCAGAGCGTCATCCTGCTAAGCATAAGCAGAGCTTAACAGGGAAGGCACACACCACCCTCACCTCCCAGATGTCAGTCCGCTGGAATTTCTGCATGAGATATCCGCCCCCCAGCCCCACCCCTAAAGGATGCTTTAGACTGAGGTTCTCAACCTCAGCACTGCCGACGTTATGGGCTGGGTAGTCCTGTGTCCAGGACCACGGGAGGAGCCGGCCCGTGCAGGACACTCTGCAGCATCCCTGGCCTGCGTCCACGAGGCCCACCCCAGCTGTGAAAAACAGGGTGTCTCAGACATCGCCAGTGCCCCTGGGGGAGGTAGAACCAGCCCGCCACCCCCCATTATGACTGCCCCAGGCGGAAGCCGCATCCTGTTGTTTATCAAAGTCGCTGCTTACATTTTTCTGCTCATTACTCAGTGGGGAGGTTTCTGAATCACCCATGCAGTGGGGTGAGGAGGCCCCAGTTGGCTCTGACTGGACCGTTTCTCAACACGAAACAGACCGCCTTTTCCGTGCACACGAGAGTTTGGACGGCTGGGCCGGCCAGTTCCTGGCGTGCTAGCCGGGATGCGGGGGCTCAGTTCAGCGGCAGGGGCTCAATAGGGCGTCTGCTGGCCTGAGGTCCGGCTCACACGCCAAGTCATTAACTGCCACGCTCTCAGGGCTCGGCTGTTAAAAGACGTTCTTAGTTTTTCTAGTTCTTCCACCCCTAAGTGGGGAAACTGCTACTCATCCACCAGTCAGCTGACACAGACAGAGGCCAAAGAATATTTCCCTTATGTTCTACCTGGGAAATGCTGAAGACGAGACAGAGGAGTGATCGGTAGGATGTTACCACATTTTGGTAACACAGGGGCCCATCCTGAATATGGAGCTCTTTGCCTTGAAACTCCGGCCAGTTCTTTTGCCTTTGAAGGAAATCCGAACCAGGACCCAGGACCTGACTACTGTCCCTGCAACATGCAGCTTACACGGGCTGGCCCAGCTCTGGGTCCCGGGGGCTGTGCAGCGAAGGGCCACAGCTGCCCCCCGCCCCCCGCGCTGGGTGAATTTACACACCCTCCAGACAATGAATTAGGACCCACTGTGGTCTCAGTGAGGATGGGGCAAATCCTGCAAGGTCCACCAGCTCACTTTGTCCAGGGAACTTCAAGGCTTGGAAAAAAAGAAGAGGAAGACCCTGTTTCTTTCTGCTGCACCGAGCTGCGGCCATGAGTCTGGCTCCTGGGCCCTGGGCTGAGATGCCCCAGAAGCCCCCAGCCCAGCGTGGCCCCAGCGGGAGGTGCAGGGACCGAGGGAAAGCCATGGAACAAAGCCGGATTCAGATCGTGTTTTTATAAGAGGGCTGGCCATGGGGACAGCACCGGGAGACACACGACTGCCTCTGTCAGTGGGAGATTTATTTTCGGAGGCACAAAACGCAGCTGACCGGCCTCACAGAGGCAGGCTGTTTTCGAGAAGGGCATCGTGGTCACTGAGCCAGCCGAACAATAGATGCGTTTCTTCGTGCTCACTGGAAGCAGCGATTGTTTCTAGGATTGCTGCTGGACACCCGATACACGGCTCAAGGAATTCTCTGAGAAAGGACGCAGGCAGAAAAAATTCTCCGAAGCCCACGCACGCGTGCCCTGCGCTCTGAGGCCCGCGTGCAATCCTCTCGTCCAGGGCGCAGAGTGCAGGTGCACACCCTGCGTCGGGCGCACCTGCCCACCAGCGTGGCATCCGCATGGCACACGGGGGCGTCCTCTTAATGCTCCCAGGGAGGAGGAAACACGAAAGTCCTCATCAACCCAAGTCTTAGAAACGCATGGAGCCCCACACGCCCCTTCTGCAGCGGTCACTGCCAGCGACACCACCTGTGTTCCGGGGCCCGGGCCGCACCTGCTGTTGGACCCCGGGGCCAGACAGCGGCGCTTGTGTCCCTGGACCCGCCGTTCCGGGAAGCATACCGCACCCCTTCCTTCGGCTCCGGGTATGGTGCTGCAGACTCCGGGCAGGCTGCGCGCCGAGAGTCTGTGCAACTCTGTATTTCAAACATTCTTTCTCGCTTGAGACTTCAGGATACATTTGTCAACAAGCCATCAATTTGCAACCCAAACTAGACCACAGGGCCTAGTTTTTTTGGGCTGGTGTCTTCTTTTGACAGAGCTGAACATTTTCTCAGTGCAAGCAGCATGGGGCATGGGTGACCCGCGAAGGAACGGGGTCATCCCCCACAGGCATCACTTCGAATAATTTCTTCCCAGCTTAGGAAAATCACGATGGAAGGAAGCGCTCCTTTTACGCTGCTGCTGGACAGTTCCACACTTCCCCGGATGTTCCGTGCCGGGCAGGTGCGGTGCCAGGCGGCACAGACATGTCTGGGTCTGGCCGCGCTGACGCCCGGCTTCTCCAGAGTCCCGAGGTCAGTTCGGCGGGGAAGTGGTGGAGTTAGAGCATCTCTGGCTGTCTTGTGGAGAGAATGCACAGTTTATGCTTTTTACATACATCAGGTTATGCTTTTGGCCGGCAGCTTCAGATTTAGTCCACATTTCACCAACAAGAAAATTCAAGAAACTGGTGTTTGGGATTTCCAGATCAAATATCAAACCTAGCAACAATTACAGAAGCTAAAGGTATTATGTAGAGATTGGATTCTGGATAATTCTAGATAATTCTTACCGTTGACTTTTCTTGATGGTTTCGAGTAAAACTACCAGCGCTCTGATTAAGTTTACACAGGTATTACCAGTTTATGCCTCTATTCATTTCTTTGATTTAATTCTCGGTGACGGTAGCTTCTTCCTCTCCCCACCCCCCCGGCCCGCTCAAACAACACTGTGCCTGTCCCCGAGCTGTATTTTCCAGAACACTGAGCACCCAAACTTTTATTTCAGGGCATATACTGTACATAAAGTTACTAAAGGTGGTCAGTACTTATGTGTTGGATAAAACTCAAAATATTCATGATCTGCAAAATACTTGTTGAACGGGTGACCCGGCGTCAAAGCAAACTGAACTCCGTCGTATTAGAGCTTGTGGGACGGCGCACGGGGAGGAGGCTGGCCAGCTCAGCCAGGCCCGCCGGGTCAGGGCACGAGGAGCCCGCCCGCACGGGCGTGGTCTTACCTTCACGGCATACTCTGCCTCAGTAGCTTTATGCACACATCGCTTGCACACGGAGTAGGAGCCCACCCCGATGTCCTCCTTGATCTCATAGCCATCGGCGAAGTGTATGTTGTTCCCGTGTAACTGCTGTGGACAGAGACCGGGGCAGAGACGGCTGTCAGAGCTCACTCGGACAAAGGCACCACAGGCACACAGGACGTGGGCAGCAAGGGAGGTCCCGGACGGTGCCCTTGAGGTCGCTGAGGTCAGGAGATGATGGATCATGAAGGTCATGCTGCTGGTCGGCAAGGATTCCAGATCTAAATCCTAACTTTGGGGGGATGAGCTTAATTTTTAGACCATGCTACACAGAGTCTGAGCATCTGGAGGGGGGAGCGCAGAAGGCCCCGCAGATAGGGGGTGTGTGGTTCGGATGCTTGAGGCCAGAGCGGCGTCTGGTGTCCGCATCTAACTGGAACTCACACCCCGTGACGTCCCAGCCACAGCCCCATCTGCCCGCATGCACGGGCCTCCACCCTATGCACTGAGAGCACAGATAGAAAGCCCCCAGTCATATACCGTATAGTATACGGTATACACCGTCACACCAAGTGTCCCCGTTAGACACACTGTGGGTTCCCAAAAGGCCCAGGAGAAAGAAATACGGAAATCTAATGCCACCTCATTTCCCCTGACTTTGTCCTTAGAATGTAACCACAATTCCTTCTTAGAATTCTCTGCATCTGGTTACACTCATCAGGTGGACAACTCCTAAAAATGTCATCTGAATTGATTTCCCAAACGATATACTTCACAACAGAGAAATGGCACCTATAAACCAAACTACTCTCTTGGGCTACCGACTCGATCCACCCAGTGAGGACGCCCCTGTCTGACCCCTGTGGGGGCTCCAGCCACAGACACACCCCGGGGATATTCTGGGCAGAACTCTTCCCTTCGTGAGGATGAATGTGGAGCAGGGGTGAGAGGCACGGCTCAGATCACCACGAGACTCAGTAACGCCCAGGAGGCTGGGAACAGAGTTGGTGCCCCCTGCATCAGCACCCCAGGACCCAGGCTGCTCTCAGTCCACGTGTGACAAGGTGCTCACGCCTCCCCGGGCACACCTGCGGGGCGAGCAGCCTGGCGGTACGGGATTACCTGCACGATGGGGTGAACCGTGGCTTTGTGCAGGTCTTGCTGCAAGGGCTCCTGGGCCAGACTTGAGGCCACAAAACTGAACCCTCTGAACAGATGATGCGCGTTGGCACTGGGGGGGACGCCAGGTGAGTCTGCAGGTAACAACGAGACGATTAACTCAACCTTCCAGGAGGGGCTTCCTCCTTGGAATTCTCCAATCACTTTTGCTTAATTTATGACACCATGCAGTTTGCTTTTGTGCTGGGTAGTAACTGAAGTGCTAAGGACACAGAAAAATCATTCTCTCTACATTTATATATTAACAAAGGTAGAATTTTCTAAGCACACGAGCTCAGTGCATGGTTCTGTTAAAGGGTAGTTATAGCAAGGGGATTCTGAAACAGTGGATAATCCATATCCTATATGTGAGATTTCTGGATGCAGAGTGGGAATGCCTTGCGGTGGGTTATGGTCTTTTTTTTTTTTTTTTTTTTTTTAAACTTAAGCCAACACTAAAGCTGGTTTCTATCCCCTGGACACGCACAAATCAGCTGCCCACTGGAGCGTGCTGACTGGTGAGAGGTGCCCGTCCAAGATTTAAAAACCCCTCAAACATACTAGTCAGACACTAGTCATGGGATCATCAAAGTTTTAAATTTTCTTTTATCCAACTCATGTGTCTGCTTTTTAAGTACTGTGCCGAAAATCAGCATCTCCCGGATGATTCTCAAGCATGTTAAATTCTATTTATGCCACCTATCTTTTCAGATTCTAAAAACTACCCAGTGGAGACTTCTGGGTTTTAATTAAGCTTCTCTAGTCTAGCACGGTGGAGATTTATTTCCCAGCACCCACAGCCTAACTCAAAGGGAACAAAGTAGATTCTTTCTTCCAAGTTTCTTCACATAGTGCTTTGTATTTGACCATCTATTTGTTTCACGATTATCCTTAAAAATCATAGGAAATTTCAGATTCAAAAGTAGTAAGAACCCCCATAGACAGGAGATTTCTTCCCCCCCCCTTTTTTTCCACATAACACCATTATATAACATACTCTACTGTACGGACTGGACTGACCGTGGTCCCCCCAAATTTGTAGTTTAAAGCTCTAGCTCTCCATGTGACTGTCTTTGGAGATGGGGTCTTTCGGGAAGTCGTGAAGGTTAAATGAGGTCATGAGACCTGATCCAATGGTGTTGGTGTCCATATAAGAAGAGGGTGAGACAGCAGGGATCTCGCTCTTCCTCCTCGAGCACGGAATAAGACCGTGGGAAGCCGTGTGCCAGCCAGGAAGAGAGCCCTCACCAGGAACTGAAATAATACCTGTTGATTGAGGTGCCCAGGCTGGTCGTTTGTCATGGCAGCCTAAGCAGACCAAGACAATTCCCATACTGCCAAAAAATTAATATTAACTCATCAGTGTCACAAAATGGTAACTTTTAGAGGGAGCTGGCCAGTCCTGAGTCTGATAGACCTCGAGAGTGACTGTCGATCTTCATGAAAGTACGTGTCATCAGCTGTGCTGACTTCCAGTAGCTGAGAGAGCATTTCCGACAGGTGTTTGCCATTTGCACGAATAAGCTCTATAGTTCACACGGCCCCAGACACTGCCCGCAGCCCGCCTCTTCCCCCAGACCCTCTAACTACGGGAGAGACTTCCCCCAGACCCTCTAACTACGGGAGAGACTTCCCCCAGACCCTCTAACTACGGGAGAGACTTCCCCCAGACCCTCTAACTACGGGAGAGACTTCCATTGTCTTGAGGCTCCCTGCTTGTGCGCGCCTGAAAGAAGTGGTCCCCGGATCGCAGCTCAGAACACGAGGCAGCAGGAGAGGGGGATCCACAGAACCCCTGCATGATTCCAAACCAGATGTTACCGGGAGGAGGACTGAGAATTGGTTCTCTCGCTTAAACCTTGAAGGCGGAGCAGAGAGAACGAGAAAGTCAAACAGAACCGACCGGTACCCTCCATGGAGGCATTCTCGGACCTGAGACCCCCTGGCTACGTCGCCCTCCCTAACGGGCGGGGAGGAGGAGGACCTGCAGTGGGACAGACTCTGGGTTTGCTTGCACTCACGGCCGGTGCACACCTGTGGGTGTCCGTGCTGTGAACTCGGGGTCAAAGTGGAAGGTGTCCTCGGGCCTGCCCACCGCTGGTTTGAAGGGCGGCTTGATCTCCTTCCTGTACAGCTTCTGCGGGGAGAGCAAGACAGGACGCTGAGGAGGAGCCACAGAGCACCTGGGAGGACGATGCAGAGCAGCAGGGCTGGCCGCGGGGAGGGGAGACAGGCTCCGCACACACCCCCTGGTCTGCACCTGCGCCCGGCACCCCATATACGCTGACGTATGTATGAATGCACCGAAAACAGTGTCTCTTATGTGTTGAGATTATAGAAGATATTTGATATAAAAGCCATAATTGAAGGTATGAGGGTCTGGACACATGCTAAGTATTCTTCATTGAGGGCAATGTGAGGTTTTAAACCCTTTTTGGGGGCAGAATTTTTTTTTTTTTTTAATTTTTTTTCAGGTAAAATCTGACAGGACAGCCGAGTCTTACCAGCCCTCCCCTTCCCCCGCCCAGGGAACGGCAGGGAAGAGCCCCTGCTGCTTGGCGCCCTCCTCCCCGCCCTGGCCACCGTGGGGGGCCCGCGCCTGGGGGACACCGGGAAAGCCCCCAGCTAGAACGAACCAGGCCCTTCCTCACACACCCCCCAGAGCCTGTGACCGGGGGCTGAAGCACTTCCCTTGGGCACCTACTCTGGTACCCCCAGATGTGGGGGTCCGGAGCCCTCTGCTCAAGTGGGCGGAGTTATGCTTTTGTGTTCCCTTACACGCGTTTGTGCACGTGGATGAGCCCGTGAGAAGAGCCGAGTCCAGGGGGAGAATCAGCACTTCTCCAGAACGGCCACACCTGGCGGCCCTGAACTTAGGTCATGGGCCTGACCTTTGATGCACAGAAACTCCACGTCCCTCACGGCTTCCCTCTGACGCTGGCCTTCTTGAAAATGCCTTCCAACCTGATGATGTTGCTTTCAATGCTCTTAGGCAAGGCAACAGTGTATTGTTTTGGGGAGAGTCAACTTCAGGAACAAGACAGTTTGGAAGCAGGCCTGGGAACCAGCTGGGTAAAGCCGCAGATGGGGAAGAAGGGGGTGTGGGCAGGAGGGGGAAGCTGGGGCCAGTGGGGGAGGTGATGGAGAGGCGCGGGGGCCTCCGGGTGCCACTTCTGGCCGAGGCTGTGGGGCAGCCACGGGGTGGACTTCAGAACGTCACAGTCCTGGGTTGGTCGGCGTGCCCTGGGCACGGAAGTCGCAGCACTGGCGAGCGTGCCGAGAGCCTGGCGGGTTGGGGCATGGGCAGCAGGGCTAGGACACCAGGAGGGGGGTCTGGCAACCATTTAGCACGAGTTTTCCCAGTTCTGCCTGATCAGAGGGGACCCTTAGGCCCCTTCTTGGTGCTTCTGCTCAGTGGGTCTAGAGCCAGGGACCCTGATGGCTCAGAAAACGGACTCAGTGACACCTGTCCAATCTGCTCTAAATCTCTCCGTAACCCCAAAAAGCAGATTTTATCACCCTGACTTTACAGATGAGGAAACCCAGGCTAAGACAGGTTGGGTGAGTTGTGCAAGGTCAGGAGTGAGCGAGGGCCGGCGGGGGAGGACCTGGGCATCCTGACGCTTCCTGTTAGAGCAGGGCTCGTGGTGAGGGAAGGTCCAGCAGCGGCAGGAGGGCGCAATGCTCTGATCCCTGCTGGGAGCACACCCTTCTAGAAGCCAAGGCGGCCACGGAAAACTGGCAGGAGTGACAGAACAACGGCTGTGTCCGGGCTGGTGACCACTGGGCCCCCCTGGTTTAACGAGCCGCAGGCGTGCACAGGACGGAGCTCGGGGTGAGCACCTGGGAGCCGCCAGAAGAAAATGTCTACCCTCAATTATCTGCTCATTTCTTGCCCTGGGTGAATCGATTTCATTAGGAATTGATTTACTCCATAAGCTCTTTCCAGAAATAGAAAGATGCTACTTTCCACGGTGACACACTCTGGGGTAGGAATAAACTTCCCTGATGTATGCACTTGTCAGAGGAAATCGAATAAGGACAAGCGAGCTGTGCACCCTGATTAAGATGCTAGTTGTTACCAAGACCGATGGCCGAGGCGCAGCCCTGCGGGGCTCAGACCCTTTCTGCTCGCACCAGTGATGCTCCAGTGGTATTTGAGCTGCATTATTAAATCAGTATCTGTCCTGCTCAAGGAAAACTCACATCCTCTCCCTGGGCAGGCATGTGTTCTCTTGCTACCTGGGGGATGGGGTAGGGAGGGAGTGGTGGGGGAGGAGAGGGAGTGGGGAGGGCGGAGATCTCTACCACAGAGCCACGGCTCCTGCTTTATGAACGTTTATTTACATGCACACAGCGCTGGCTGTCACTTAATCCAAATGAGAGGCGAGGCGTTTGCACCTGGAGCTGAAGGTCATACATTTCCGCTCTCTTCTCACCCCAGCTCCACCAACACAGGACCCCTGGGAACAGGAGGCCAGGACCTGCCCCCAGCCTTACAGCTGCAGATAAAACATTCCCTAACCCCGGGCTTCTCAACCGAAGCGGTTTTGGTCCACGACGGAACACGGAGCAGCACCTGGAGGCGTGGACGGTGAAGACTGGGTGCGTGTGCGGACACGAGGTGGGTAGAGGCCGTGACGCCGCCCACCGTTCTGCCGTGCTCGGGACACCCCAGGAGCCTCACTTCCCGTCCGACCACCACCCATATAACTGTACACCAGCTTTGATAAGAAGCAGGGCGGGGAGGTCAAGGTGACTTCCCGAGCCCCCTTTCCCTCCCTGCAGAAACCTGCCCACGTCTGCTCCTTGTCCTGCCATCCCTCTACCCCTCCCTCCCCATGGAGGAGGATATCAAGGCTTTGAAAATCCAAGCAGCCCAAGAAAACACAGGCACCTCCTCTGACCGAGCTGACTCCCGGGGTCACGTGCTTTCCCCAGACTTCTCCCTTCCTCACCCCGAGAGAAGCACAGCGGTGCAGGCCAGGAGGCTGACCTCCTGGGGAGACATAGCTTCCTACTCTCCACGTCTTTACCCGTAAGGAGAAGGAACGCATCAGAATGGCATCTGCCCCCCAGCAGCCGTGCGGCTTCATCTGGGTGGAGCCTACTGCCCCCTTCAACTCAAGTATTTAGCGATAACTCGGGGAGCAAATGAGGATGTGGTACCTCCTGGCTTCCCCCGCCCCAGGACGCTCATGCTTGTTGGCCCGGTGCAGAGTCCCAATTCCCTCTTACCCACTGCACTCCCAGCCCGGTGCATGCCCCCCGGACCGGTCACAGAACCCAGCCACCATAGAGCACACTTAGGGCGCTTGAAAACCCCAGCTTCACTGGGCATTGTGCACGTGCACGCCTGCTTTTCCTTGTCCTTTCAAACCTCCTCTGGAAGCCTGTGCCTCACTACGGAGATCCTAACTGACTAGAGGGAGAGCGTGGGAGAGCCCAACAAGGGCTTGCTGGCTGGCGAGTTCCCTCACAGGCCCCTCCGTCCTCAGAACACCGGTCACTGGTCTCAATCTGCCTATGAGCACAGCCTGGGCAAAGGTGGCCCCGGAACACCACCCTCCCAGTCCCTGGGGATGCTGTGGTTTCATCCTGGTTCCCAGCAGGTAGCAAAGGGCTGCATAAGGCACGCTGGTGCCCTCCACGCTCTGGATGGCTCCCTTATGCAGTCTTAAAGTTGGTCAGTTCCTTCCTGTTACTGGGTAAACTTTTGGAATATGTTATTATTACACCTGCTTTCTTTCCCTATGTCCAAACCTAGGAGTGGGGTTGAGGTTTTAGGGAAAAAGTAATCTTACTTCCCATTTTATAATGTAAACTGCCGTACACAGGGTTAAATCAAGAATGATTGGCAGCAGCGTTTCTTGTAGGTTTTGAGCTTGATGAGATGCATTATAATTCTGACCTAGATTCCCCTCTCTGAGGCTCTAGAACAATCCATCCCACATTGATGGAAAGAGAATGGGGTCTCATGATCAAATTCACCAGGCAGCACTTTAAATCACCTCACTTGTCCCAGGATCTTAGGATGACACAAGTCATGGCCACATGGGAACAGATTACACATCAGGCCAGGACGCGCTTGGAAGCTCTGAGCAGGTGCACCAGGGCTATTTATACCTCAACGACCTTCCAATGACGAAGGGGAGAACCAGGGGGGTACTCTGAGAATGGTGACTGGGTAATGCAATAGGAAGCTGCTTCTAGCTCGGGGTTACGGACCTAACATCTGCTTTCTGCAGGCAGCTCTGGCTCTAGGCATCTCAAAATTAACATCCTCCAATTAGGAAATGGCACAGCTATAGATTATTCCTGAAATAGCAACGCAGAAATAACGTGGAGTGATGCCAGGCTGGCAGGGTAACAGGGAGAATTCAAATGGTCCCAGTGCACCCGGGGCATCTGATGGGTCGTGGTCCACGCAGCAGGACTCGGTCTATACAGGTTACCGCCGCTGAAAGCCATTCCAGCCAAAGTATCTGGATTTACAACACTGCAGAGCCGAGGAGCGGTTATTCACTGAATGAAGAGTCTTTTGGGCCCCTTGAAAGGAGAAGTTCTGCCGCTGTATTCAACGTGGGAATAAACTGATAGATATCTTTCCACTGGCAGTGGGAGGAGCTCCCTCACCCGCTGACACAGACGCTGAGATCCTGGCCAGCAGCCAACCGCCCCTGGGAACCGAACCCCTAAAATCCACTCTGCACAGGCTTGTGGGCAAGACTTCCCTCTGCTGCTGCTGGTACACATGACAGGCAAGGGGGGGGGCTCTGGCACATGCCGCCCGTTCACCCACGGACCCTGGGCTCTTTTCTCACTGTCCTGTGCCTTGGTTTCCCCGGGCGTCCCTCCCACAGCACCAAGTAACCACTAAGGGTACCCTTGGAAGGGTTCAGAAATGTAAAAAGAACAACTCAAGCACAAGCTCCTAGCATTAATAAAAGTCGTCGCGATAATGGGCCCTGAACGGGTACAGTGAAGGTCCCAGCCTGGGTCAGCAGGTGTCGGTCCCAGGGCGAGGGGCACCAGGCTGGGCGTGAGGTCTTCCTCGGGGCGTGGGGGGTTCCTGTGGCCTGTGGTGATGAACTCTCATGCAGCGACGGGGCAGAGTAAACGTGGCGTATGTGCGGGACTCCCCGTGACCCTCTCCCGAGGCCTCGAGGCTGTAACTGTAATTTTTCATTGGGCTCGTGACACAGAGCAGCTTTCAGGAAGAACCGCTCCTCAGTGGACGTTTATTCGCTCGGCTTTGCAGACAAGTTAATGGCAGAGCAGGACGGATGGGGCCAGTGACCTCACATGCGCTGTGATGGACTCATTCCGCTCCAGCAGGTCACCTGAAAATTTCTCCTGGCAGTTTTGGGTCACAGAGGGAAGCAGAAAGTAAAATAAATATCCTTCTGTTTTCCAGGGTGGATCCCGAGGCAGGCAGGCGCTGGGTTCGCGCCCAGTCAGAAATCAAATGGGTCAGGGAAATGGCTTCGTGTGGTCGTTCTGAGCATCAGCCAGCAGAGGGAATGCCTTCCGGTATTCATAGTTTTTGCAAATGCTACTGTCCTGTGGTTTTCTTATCTAAGCTGCTGAAACAGAATGGACGCATCCGGACAGGGGTTTGGTAACATTACGCACTGGATGCCTGTCAGTGCCTCGCATTTCATGTCTGCTTTCTCAAGCGTGGGCCTGCTGTTTGCTCGGTGTGTGAGTGGGGGCCAAGGCTGACTGCAGCTCACGGGTGGGTAGGGAGGGTGGAGATGGGGGTCACTCGTCTGGTTCTAGGGAAGGCCTGCAGCAGCTGAGAGAAGGCTGTGGTCCCAAGGAGAGCTTTGCGAGGAGTATGTCGCCTCACCTGTCAGCTCCTGCCTGTGTCGGGTCTCTGACGGGACACCCACGCCACACACCTCTTCTGTGGCTGGACAAGACATTTCGTGCAGCCGTTGAGCAACCTGAGGACAGCTGTGTGTTCCGTTGCCATAGCATGGACAGCCAGCTTGCTCTCCTGGACACGGACAAGCGCCAAGTACTATTTATGAAATAAGTGAATTTGCACAAAAGTGGTGACTCCGAGCTCCTCTCCCTTAACCACTCCCTGGCTGTTTTCATTCAGGGCTTGGGATGGAATGAGGTCCTTCCATCCCTCTGTCCCTGCCTCGTCATCCTCGGGCAAATACAGAAGCGACAGTACATACGCTTGGTCCCCATGAATCTGAAGGGCCTCTCTCAGAAACAAAATGGAATTAAATGCTAAAAGCAATAAAGGAAACTTCCCAACCTCAATTTTAGTCTGATTACTTTGAAATAATACAGCACGCCACCTTCTTGGTGCAGACATCCAGTGACTGTGTTTGCCCTGGCAGGAACCTGGCCCTAAATGCAGAGACGGGACGAGCCATGCACACTGGGGCTGGTCTCCCCGCTGGACTCTCACTGGGTGGCAGAAAGAAGCCGGGCTTCTGCTCAGAGCTCCTGCAGACCTGGGCTTTCCAGGATGCACGTTAGCCCAGCCTGCATAGTGTTCAAGGTCATCATCATGCTGTGAAAATTCCAAGCGTTTCACAAAGCTGTCTTGGCTTTTCCTCCACATGCCCACTTCTTCGGGGGGTGCCCCTTCTTGACTGAGAGAAGCATCTGTCTGCAGCAACTTGCAAGCAGATCCTTCGAGCCAAGCCACTGTGTTGAGTGGTACCCGGAGCCGTGAGGCCAGGCCTCCCCTTTCCTCCCAGCTGCAGCCCGAGGATCTCCCATGTCACAGGGTCCGTCCCCATCTCCGGCCCCAGCCATCCCGTTCTCCTGTTTTCTCATCTCTGCCGGCGGCAGGGGCTGTGGTACCCCGGAGAGAGAAGGAGAGAAGTGGGTTCCTGCCCTGAGAGCCTGTCCTGTTCACTCCCTCGCTCCCTCGCTCATTCACTGTTTGTCAGGGGCCTCCTCTGAGCCTGGCTGTCTCAGAGGCCCGGGGGATGTCTCTACTCAACATTGACAGTGACTCCTGACCTCTTGGGGCTTCCATTCCAGTAGCAGGGGACAGAGACTCCTAATCAGCACCATGAATAAGGGATGTGATGCAGGACACTGGACGGTGACGAGGAGCCGGGGATGGAACAAGGTCAGGGGAGTCAGGGCGCTGGGCGAGGAGCTGCAGTTTGGAAGGGTTGGGACAGACTTTAGCAAGGAGCTGGCTTTTCAGAAAAGCCATAAGGAGGAGGACATAACTGAGTCACAGGGGCACTCGGGGACAGGAGGGCTGATGTGCTGGGCAGATAGGTGCGTGGAGAGGCCAGCGTGGGGGCGGGAGGGGCAGGTGAGGGGCTCGGCTCCGATGCCCCACCCCTCCCCTGAGCGGCTCTCTTCGCGGTGCTGCTGCTTTCTCTCTGTGACCTAGTGCGCAGCCTTTGATTCCTGCCTCGCTCCCCCGACCAGGTTGTAAAGCCCGGGGCGTCACGGCCACTGCTCTGTGTCCGTGTCCTGGAAGCGCCTGAAAAGTGTTCAACAGCATGGCTGGACACATGGGACAGCAAGTGATAACAGAAGGGGGTATGCAGCCCTACCCCGATGTCTGTGGGCGGGAGGGGATGACCCGCGGCAGAGCGCCCGTCGGGGCACCAGGGCCGTGCCCCCAGGGCTCAGCTTCTGAGGCTCCTGCCCGCAGCGCCGTGCTGGCCCTCCAGGGCTAGGACGCAGCCGGCTGGCCTGAGGCCTCATCACCACAGGCACAGCCGAGCTTCCGTGCTGGATGGAACCAGAAATAATCGACCGAGAAAGATCTCCAGGTGCCCATCTGTGAGTTGAGGATGACTGAGCTCCTTATAAGTCTACATTCCAGGAAGCTAAGGAAAAAGAGATTTCACGGGCAAGCACTTTGCTTCCACCATCCACTTTCCTGAACGCAAGCTGATGTTGACCTGGTCCTTTAACCAGGCTTGTGCACCTGGCGGGAGGTCACTGGTGCACCTGGCGGAGAGGTCACAGGGACACCTGGCGGGAGGTCACAGGGACACCTGGCAGGGGGTCACAGGTGTACCTGGCGGAGAGGTCACAGGTGCACCTGGCGGAGAGGTCACAGGGACACCTGGCGGGGAGGTCACAGGTGTACCTGGCAGAGAGGTCACAGGTGCACCTGGCGGAGAGGTCACAGGGACACCTGGCGGGGAGGTCACAGGGACACCTGGCGGGGAGGTCACAGGTGTACCTGGCGGAGAGGTCACAGGTGCACCTGGTGGAGAGGTCACAGGGACACCTGGCGGGGAGGTCACAGGGACACCTGCTGGGGAGGTCACAGGGGCACCTGGGGGGGAGGTCACAGGGACACCTGGCAGAGAGGTCACAGGTGCACCTGGCGGAGAGGTCACAGGGACATCTGGCGGGGAGGTCACAGGGACACCTGGCGGAGAGGTCACAGGTGTACCTGGAGGAGAGGTCACAGGGACACCTGGTGGGGAGGTCACAGATATACCTGGCGGAGAGGTCACAGGTGCACCTGGTGGGGAGGTCACAGGGGTGCCAGCATCTCACATGCTTCTCTGTAGTCTCAGTGCTGAAAAGAATCCTAACCCCGTAAAAGCGGCATAATCAGAACTACAGAAGCGGGTTTTAAGGAAGCTGGTGCTCTCCCAGTGGGTCGACTTTCAGAAGAGGAGGAGAGAGGAGGAGTAAGGTCAGAAGCTCCAGGAACAGCTGGTTCCATCCAGCACTCGTGTCAGCACCTTGTCAGAGGTCATAACCCTGGGGGCCAGGGGCGGGCTGCCATGGTGCCCCCGCTGCTAGAACCCACAGAGGTGACTGGACGAAGACAGGGAGCAAGGCAAACACCACTAACAGCCTCGGTCCTAGAGAGGACGTTAATGTAATATATACCTATCTTCTGTTAGAGTCTCTCGAGGTTAATTTGTCAGCTCAGGGAACGGAGCCCCCAAATGTGCCTGCTGTGTGCACCCCAGGAAAGGACCGGAAGACACTGACATCCGAGGAGGGACGTCCTCCTGGCACACGAAGCCCAGCCGCGGCCGCTCCCCACGCTGACGGGCCGGGAGGCGGCTCCGAGCGGCGGGTCCAAATGAGATTTGGGAGCCCCTCAGCCAGCGCCCAGCTCCAACGTGGTGTCAGCCTGGAGAACTGGGGCCCGAGGCTCGACATGTGATGGGCCCGCCCCGCACCAGGTGACGTCTGGACCCCAGGCCTGCGTCCAGCAGAAGTCCTGTGAGGTCACTTCAGCCAGAGCCCCTCACCCCCGTGTTTCCTCCCAGTGTTTTTCCATCCACAAACCCCCTCCCCGCTATTAATCCCACTGCCCCAGCTGCTCAGAGTTGAGCCCCATCTCTCCGCTGACCGCAGACCCTGTCCCCGTGGTCCCTGAACTCATCGCCATGGAGGTCTTCCTTACGTCACTAACGAGTGTCACCAATAACTGCTCTTAACAGTCTGGATGTTTGTTTTCTTTAATGACCCTACGAGAGTGGCAGCTGGGTGGGCCTGAGCCTGAAACCAGAGGCTGGGAGAGCAGCACAGAGTATGAGATGCAGCACTTCAACACAGAAGAGGCCTGCACAGCCTGGCCTGGCAGCCTGGGGACCCTCAGGGGCCTGGAGACCCAGAGACCAGGTGGCCCAGCAGCCCAGCGACCCCGTGGCCTGGAGACCCACAGGGGCCTGGAGACCTGAGGGGCTTCTGCAGCCTCTTGCTGAGCAGAAGGAGATCCCTGCTCTGTCCTCAGCGGTGGGAGTGGCTGCAGGGTCAGCGGAACCTGCCTCTAAAGGGCCAAGTGTTAAAGGGCTCTCAGGCCTGGTGCTGCAGGAAGGTGGTCCCTGGTCTGTGCCTGTAAAATGGCAGCCTGTCCAGAAGGCTCCTGAGAGAGGGCACCCCTCCAGGGGACAGGGCCACGTTCCCCTCTGGTCTGTACCAAGCTGGTGAGCCCTCCACCTCACCTCCCTGTCACCCATGTGCTGTGGGCCCCATGCTGTGCGACTTACATTCCAGTCTATGGTCACAAAGAAAGGATGCCGCTTGATCTCCTCCACTCCGTCGATGCCAGCACCTGTCCCGGGGGGCAAAACACACACAAGCATCAGGACAAACCCCTAGTTTCATTACCTCTGAGAGTTTTTGGCATACCAGTGCGAGGGGCTGGGGGATGCCCGAGCAGCTCCAGATGCCTTCTTCCTGAGGGAAGGGGCCCCTGCTCACCTGCTTCACAGCCCACAGAAGCCACATTCAGCCCTGCAGGCCTGTGACAGGGTCAGAGGCAGGGGTGGGGTAGGCTGGAAGCTTCCTGCTGCAGGTGTGGGGGGGTGCCTGGAAACCTAGAGGGGGAAGCTGGAGGCCCATCACAGCCCGGCTGCACGTGTGCATGTATCCATCCATCCATCCATCCATCGATCTATCCACCCATCCCCCCATCCACCTATCCATCCATCCATCCATCCATCCATCCATCCATCCATCCTCCATCCATCCATCTATCCATCTATCCATCATCCATCCATCCACCCACCCACCCATCCACCTATCCATCCATCCATCTATCCATCCATCCATCCATCCATCTATCCACCCATCCCCCCATCCACCTATCCATCCATCCATCTATCCATCTATCTATCATCCATCTATCTACCCACCTACCTATCCATCCAACCATCCATCCATCATCCATCCATCCACCCATCCACCTATCCATCCATCCATCCATCCACCTATCCATCCGTCCATCCATCCATCCATCCATCCACCCACCTATCCATCTATTCATCCATCCATCCATCCACCTATCCATCATCCATCCATCCATCTATCCATCCATCCTTCCATTCATCTATCCATCCATCCATCCATCCATTCATCCATCTATCCATCTATCTATCTAAGTAGGCACCATGCCCAAGATGGGACTTGAATTCACAACCCCAAGATCAAGAGTCACATGCTCTACCAATTGAGCCACCAGCCCCGCCCTGGCTGCACTTTTGATGCTCAGGCTGGCGTTCCAGAAGGGTGAGAAAGTGCGGAAGGAGTGGGAGAGCAGGCTGCAGCGCAGAGCGCCTTCTTAGGTGGCTCTGGGTTCACAGGGAAGGGGAAGACAGCCAGATACTGGAGAGGTAGCTTCCGGCAGGACGGGACCCAGAGAGAGACTGGCATCCACACCTGCTGATGCCGGGGACCCTGGAGACTGCTTATAAATAGTTCTGCTGGGTTTGTTCATTCTGCCCGGCCTCTCTCTTTACTTTGCTGCTTACATTAAATCCCGAGGCCTGGGGAGGGGGGCAGGGCCGAATCTGCAGAGCACAGAGGATTCGGGGCAGGGAAACTGTTTTGCCTGCCGAGGTGATGTCATGCTACCTTTGCTGGAGGTGCACAGGCAGCGTGTGAGGCCTGACGCGGACGCTGCCAATGCTGGTCTATCCGTTACACCAAACGAACGGCACTGACATCAGTTTGGGGTTAGGGGAAACTGTCTAGGGAGACGGGGCGGGGGAGTCCAAGGGAACTTGCTGTACTTTCCATTCAACTTTTCTGTAAACTTAACACTGCTCTAAAAATAAGTCTATTAATTCAGAGGAACCAAAACCCCAGGTCCTAAGAGCTCTGGGTTTTCTCCAGGATGGGAAGGGAGAAGAGGAGCCTCGGTGGGCCAGGGAGGGGGCTGGGGGCACGGGGACGTGGGAAGGGGAGGCGGGCCATGTGGGCTAGGGCCGTGTCCAGCCAGTTCCTGTCCCAAGTCTGGGGATGGGGGTTCTGTGCCACGTGGTTTGTGAGACACAGACTTCTCGGTTCTGCACCCCGGGCTCCACAGCCCCAGCCCTGCTCCCTGTTCAGCTCCTGCTGCTCCTTGTTCAGCCTGCACCCCAGGAAGGTGGGTGCTGGGGGCTGGGGGCTGCCGGCTGCGATGGGAGGGACCAGGAGCAGGAAGGTGTGGAGGACGGGGAAGCCGCCCCCCGCTGCTGTGGTCACGGAGGCACCGCCCACCCAGCCGCACTGTCGGGGCCTGAGAAGTCAGGTGGCGCCCTCCGTATAGGGTGCTGGGGTTCCAGGAGATGCAGCCCTCCTGGACGTGGCTGGATGCTTTCACGTCCTCATCCCTTCACCAACGTTCCCTGGTCTTTGCACTGATGTGGGAACCACCCATGGGACAGAGGGTGGTACAGTTCAGCCCCACCTCCGACCTCCAGGGAGGGGAGAGGGCTGGAGTGATTTAATGGAGCATGCCTAAGGAGCGGGACCTTCATAAAAGCCCTGTACAGCAGGGTTTGGAGAGTTTCCGGGCTGATGAACAAAAATGCATCCATGTGCTGGGAGGGTGGTGTATCCCAAATTCCAAGGGGACCCCTTCAGACCTCACCCTATGCACCTCTTCATCAGTATCCTTTAAAATATCCATCGTAATAAACTGGTAATAGGAAGTAAAATGGTTTCTTGAGTTCTGTGAGCTGTTTTAGCATATTATCAGACCCAAAGAAGGGGTCTTGGAAACTCCGGATTTACAGCTGGTTGGTCGGAATCACAGGTGATACCCTGGGCAGTGGGACTGAGCCCGGGTCTGGGCCAACGCTAGGTGGTTAGTGCCAGAACTAAGGTGAATTGTAGGATACCAAGCTGGTGTCTCCTGGGAAGTGAAGAATTTGTTGGTGTGGAAAACGCACGCATCTGGTGTCAGAAGTGTTGGTGTGAGTAGAGAGAAACGGGTCCTGTCCTTCAAGGACCTCCGGCTGAGGACCTCTCTGGAGTTCCGAGTCCGGCCCCCGTTCCGAGATCTGATCCCAGCAGCCTGCAGCCCATGACAGGCCCCCAAATGGCTGCGGCCAGAAACCGTGGGGAACAAGTCAGCGGTCCGACTGCCAGTACTGACCCCCCTTCAACCCACCCGTGTGCCGGCCTCCTTGTGAAGACCGGAGCTCTGGACGGAAAAGCCTCCTGGTTCTGAGGACTAAAACCCCCCGATCTGCACTGCTTCCCGACTCTTCTTTGGTGAGGGCTGCCGTGCTTCCAGAAGCACCGTGGGTCGCTCAGGGGTGGGAGTGTCAGCACACAGGTCAGAGCCCAAGGGAGCACACACCTGCCGAGGGACTCATCGGCTGAATCCCCTTGAAGAATCTGCACTGCATTTGTACCCATTCCATTTTATCCTCATTCATCACTTGCAAATACGTGGTCTGCAGCAATTCAAACCAAGGGAGACACAGAGGAAATACCGGTTTGGGTGTGACTCCAAATTCTGTGCTGGTACATGCTGGGTTTTCTTGGATACTTAATCAGCACATTCTTATCTGCACTTTCTTTCTTCCGCCGCAGTAAGATTTTGTACCATGTCTGTGCTTTGAGGACTCAGCAAACAGTCGACAGTGAATTAACACTTCAGTTATTACTCAAAAATTATAGGTGTTCCAAAAGGAGAAAAACATGAAACAGGAGGCAAATTTCTGCACACAGTTCTTTAAGGCCTACGTCCTCCTTCCTAGGGCACACAAGGTCATTGTTTTGGATTCTATAGTCTTACCCTCTCCTGAAACGAGGGAAGCGGTTGTTTTGTATTGATGACCCCTTTTTATGTCAACTGAACACAGTGCCAGTTGGGCAGAGCCCTAGGCTAGGAGGGTCAGGGAGTGCTTGTGCAGATCCTGAATCACAGCTGGCTGCTGTCGGGTCTGACCCGATGCCGTGGAAGTCTCCCCTTCTGTGCCAAGCGCAGGGCTGTGATTCATCCGGATCACAGAGGCAAGTGTTCACAGACAGAAAGGTCTGGAACAGAAGAGTGATACTTGTCTCTTATCAGGCTTGGTGATAAGGCTTGGTCCTCCAACACCAGGTAAAGATGAGTTAAAAGAAGTTCAATGGAGCGGTAGATTCAAGAGCTCATACTTCCTGTGGTGTGAACATGTCGTCACCTGTGGTCCATCTGCAGATGGGAATATCACTGAGCGTGTTCGTGGGGACCCGCGTGTCAGACTTCCACACGTTGGTTGAGCGTGTCATCTCGCATCCAGGTGGACTTGCTTATGTCCACGCACTGTTGTGAGCGCGCCCTCCACATGCACGGGGGATTTGTTCTACGGCACGGATGACATTCAGCCCCCTGCTCCACAGGCTTAACAAGGCGACCTCCTTCACTGTGGGGCCAATCGTCACTGGGCTTCTACGTTCTCAGTAGATTACTCTCAAAAGGTTTTGGTATCTGCCCCAAATATTTTCATTGTTTCTTCATTTCCATAGGTAGTGTTGGGAATGTTTAATCCCTGGGCCTTCTGAGATGCCTCTGAAGTATTTACTCTTTGTTTTTTTGTTTTTTTTTTTAAAGATTTTATTTATTTATTTGAGAGAAAGAATGAGAGAGAGCGAGCAGGAGAGGGGGGAGGGTCAGAAGGAGAAGCAGACTCCCTGCCGAGCAGGGAGCCCGATGCGGGACTCGATCCCGGGACTCCAGGATCATGACCTGAGCCGAAGGCAGTCGCTTAACCAACGGAGCCACCCAGGCGCCCTTACTCTTTGTTTTTGAGCCACACAGTGTCCACCTCAAATTCTTTATTTTTAATTTTAAATTTTATTTTTTTTAAATAACCTCTACCCCCCAATGTGGGGCTTGAACTCACAGTCCCGAGATCGAGAGTCGCACTCTCCCCTGACTGAGCCGGCCAGGCGCCCCTCACGGCAAATTCTTGGTGCACGTTCAGAACAAGCTCACTTTCGGTTACTGTCCTTGCATCCTCGAGCTCCGCCCGACTGGTACACTTGTAATTTCCAGGCCATCCTGTCGGGGATGTGAACACGAGGTCTGCTTCTTACCTCTTCATCACTTACACATTATCTACATGTTGTTTTTTCATAGTTTTGAAGTATTTGCTGTCCCTTTGAAATTTCATTTGCTCAGTGTTTAAAGCTTGGCTGTGGCTCAGAGGACACTGGTTTGAGCAGACCAGCGAGCTTGGTCTTGACCACGCCGTCCAAGGTTGGCCTGCTGCTGACGGGACCCGGGATGGGCCATCGGAGACAGAGCCGGTGAAGCATGTCTTGTGGAGACCAGCGTTGGAGAGTAGAACAGAAACA